GTGTTTGTTAAGTGACACCAAATCCATAAGTAACGGATGATTTTGGATTATAAACATTAAAGGGATTTGGTTTGTGGGTCATATCCTATTGGTGAGAGTGCAGGCATTAATGAAACGCCAGATTCGCGGTCACACACCCTACAGACATTTTGGGTGTAGAGTTTCTAATGTTCAGACTCGCCAAAAGTATCTACTTCTATAGTCTTTTTTGATCTACATAAAGAAGGCAAAAAAGTCACCTTTGAGAACTATTATCTGTTAGATTTACATAGATAATTAAGATAGATTAATCAAATTTAAAACCACGTCATAAACACAATTTTAGCGATATATACACTAAAACCCCTTATTGGAAGGATATATTTTTTACCTCATCATTGAACATAGGTTCTTGTTTCATATAAAATTACTTCTACTACGAATAGAAGTAATTTTCGCCCCCACCAAACCTATTCTTATTACCTATTTCTTTCTAAAGGATAAATTAAATATTATTTTTGTATAGTCTACGCTGTATCGTACTATGACAACACGTAATATCTCGAGAGTTCTACTTACAGTGATACACGCGGCGCGCACGCGTCATCCATTGTGTCTGTAGATCACATCAACCATGCTGTATGCAAGTGACACTGCATCGATGAGCAAGCTTTTCTCATCTAATAATTTATGGTCAGAATCCTATTAAAGCCACAAAACTTTATGAAGTTAATGATATCGCTATCATATGTTGCTAATATGTCAGAATTTATTTTTTTCGGCGCTGTACTATGTTGTAAAAAAGATTAAATATATGAATTAAGTTACGTTACGTAACAGACGTTACGTTAAAGTATAATATAAGTAACGTATCAAAAAATAGATATGAGTCAAATATTATAAAATGTACACTTAGCTTCCAGGTGTAAATCCAGGATTTTTCCCCATTATTTATATAAACTGTTAATATTATATAATATCTTCGTAAAAGTACTTATTATAGGTAACTTTTGGCCTACTAAACCGAACTAGTGGTATTTCCGATTTGACTGCACGGCATCTTCACAATCACGCAAGCAAATATTCGCATTTTCGTCATTTTGAGAACAATTTTTAGGCAACAACGGATACGTATATTGTTTTTTTTTTTTTTGTGAATTCCGTAGGAGAAATTTTACAAAAATGTGTTTTTTTTACAAACAGCCGGTTGGTTTTTTTCTTTTTTTTTTTTTTCCCTTTTTATTGATTCTTATTCATTATACATTCAGGTCAGAAAGTCAATTGAATATTCAACAATGACAGTGTAAACACACATGATTAACATTTTATGGGTTTTTAATTTTACGAATATTTATTATTCAACTATCATAGATTTAATATATTTAATGTATATAGAAATAGCCTCTTATGACGTCATTTAAGAGGAATATATTTTGATAAAAGTCTTGAAACTAATTGAATGTTTACAAAGTACACTGGTCCTTTGCGAACGGAAATAGCGGAGACTCTAAAACGTGTTATTATTGATAAGTATGCATCGTGTTTCGAACGAGTACTTGCTGTAAAATTGGATGCTTTGCTCCCACTAATTATTGCGGGGATCGAATTATACCGTACACGCTCGCAACGTTAGCAATGCAGTTATTACCGATAATTGCTTTAGACTTTTTTTATTTAAAAGGGAATATTTTCCTGTTTCTATTCATAATTCGAATTTTGCAGTTTACTGCTGTGTGTGTTTCTAACTCGAGAACCACTATTGATTTTCACTTATATTTAAATAAAACACTTTAACTTTTAAAAAATATTTTAACTACGGCCCGCCGTTTCCCCGTGACCAGGGCTGCTGCAAAGCATTCGACACGTCGGGCCTTAGTCAAAAAAATCTTAAAATAAGTTTAACTAATATAATATGTATATCGCGTCTTAAATCTTTAAATTGTTTTATTTAAATGTGTACTACTCACATGTACAGACAGTGTTTGATATTTATTCTTATTTCAAAACTTGAATAATTTAACTTTTATTAGGTACTATTTTAATATTAATAATAGAACGAACAACACGATATCCACTTTCTTATTCCAAGATTATGTTTTTATCAAAAACCAGTCACAATATATCCTTACAGAATAAACTATATTATGTATATATTTATAGAAACTTACGTGTGCATTAACTTGTAACAAAATAGAATGATTAAATTACATATGTGTTCAAGTAGCCTCGTCGCATAGTCGCTAGGCACTACTCGATAATTCTCGTATGTAGCAGACCTATTTAGGATGTAATAAGCAATATTTTAAAGCAAAATATATGCGCTAATAAAACAACAAATATAATCAATTCATTCTATAGCTAACATCACAATAAAAGAATAAACGACTTCACTTTTCAGATGTAACGAATTAAGGGCAATTAGCGACGACTATACTCGACCATCAGACACTGTTAGTCAGCTCTCTGGGGTGTCATTTAAACCTAATTTATTACTTTCCCAATCACGAAAACTTGTCCAATATGTTCGATTTTATATCGGAAAATTTCTTAACCCTTAAAGCATTGATCTTAATTATAATTCATTACTAAACAAATGTTACGTAAGTACTGTAGAGGTTTGGGGGACGGGGGTTATATCTACACTATATATAGACGCTTCAGTAATTTACATCTCCATGCTTCTAGAAGAAAGTCAAACATTTTTTATGATAGAGGAAGACAAACAAGCAGCGTTTTCATTTGATATATGGTATATACCCCGCCTATAGCATATTAACAAGATGCACTATCGACCTATTTTGGCTTTGGATATTCGGAAATCCACAGACTAAAACCGAAACGCGCTTAATTTTCACGGAATTTTCATCTGTGGACGGTGGTACGCGACCCGGGCAGAATTTTCCATATTTCTACCACGCATTTAATATCCAGATGTCCAACAGCTTTCACGAAAATCAGAAACATTTTGGCCGCGGTGAGGATCGATCCCACGATACGTTGATTAGGTATTAGCCATACATTGCTACCATAAGACCAAGGAGCATTCTAAATTAAAATCCTGTATTTTTGTTTATAAATGTCTTTCATTGTTTCTAGAAATAAATCTACTGCTGTAGGTATGTCGTACTAATTTAACTGACCTTTACGTGTGACGTGTAAATAGTTATAACCTGCGTACAAAGAAATAAAATTACGAGAATGTTATAAATCTTCATTCGACACAAATCAATAAGAAATTAATATGGCTTTCAGATATGTCAAACGATAGGTACGAAAACTTTACAAACACATGTTCGTTGCAAAGAAACTTTTAAGTACAGGAACAAGCGATCAATCACCAACAATGGTAGCGAGGTGCACCCCAGAGGAAAAAACTTGAACGGGTGTTGCTGATTTATTGGCGTAGTTAGAATTATCGCCATTTGCAATTCTTGCCATACCGGGCTTGCAAACAACTTGGCCAGATAACGACTTGTGAGTTCTGACTTGTGCAGACGATTTTAACTTACATACTTTTGTAACAAGAACGACGGTATCGCTCGACTTAATCTTGTTTTATTACAAGTTAATTATAACACGACTTTTAAAACTTTAATATTTTTCACGTGTTATTGCAAATTTAAAATTATCACGTGACCCGCGCGTGTCGTAAATTTTTTCAATTAATAATCGATTTTTAATTTTTAACATGACTGCCTTATTACACTACAAATATACAAAATCCATTTCACTTTATTTACTACTTCAAAAAAAAAACAAGCCAATTAATGTCATAGTTTAACGGATATTAAATGATTACCTTCTGACTGCAACTTCAAGTTTCGGATACTTCATAACAGTCGTTGACATCATACCTATTAAATCAATAGCGCGGAACGATGTGGATGCCGGTTCGTATCCTGCCCGTGTAATTTTTTTTCTATTTATTTTTAATAATGTTTATAGTAATAAAGAAATAACGTTAACGTAAAGTTTTCAAACAATAAGGTTGTAAAGTGTATATCACTCGCGTAAACTACAAATACATCGTAAACGACATATTTATTGACATCGCGTTTTCACACATACACATAAATGTGATACTATGTAATCACTGTAACGAGTTTAAGTTCCATCTGAAATTCACACGGGTGTCGTCAAGACCTCAACGCATTAATTTGGGTGTAACGTCGCCGCGTATCACCTCTGTACGATTATCTTATAGTTAACCCTGTCGTTACCGACCTTATGTGGTTGTATTCGGTACTTAGCACCGATGTTAAGAACTCGTTCACAATGATTCACAACATACGTTTGAAAATTTATTTTTTATAGACAAAACAAGAACCGACCAAGTTCAAGTAGAACACGGAAGGTTCTCTTTACGAAACTTTATCATAACTGTTGTATGAAAGATACTCAACACTAAATTTATTAACTATAATATAATATGATTGATTTTAAAGTGAATAAAATAAATGGACATTATGTAAAACTTTGTAACCTGCAAAACGATCAAAAATCGTGTTCGTTGTGTGGCAGATCCTTTAACGTGTATTTTATTATTTTCAGTACTCAAATAAGTAAACTGTCTATCGGCTTATGAGATAGAGTCTGTTTTTATGAACCATTGAGAAACAGACAGACAATAACGCCAATAGTCACTATAAATCTGTATAATAATAACAATGTATTGATTTACTGTAACATAAAAAGTTAATATCCAAACGATGTGAACGCTTCTTTATATTGAATTGGTCACTTCCGAAGCATCGCAAAGGTAGTTACAGCGTTTTCTGAATGAGAAAAGACTCCGATGGCCGCTTTGTGCCTCCGCCGTGCTATTTGTTCGATATTGGTCGTTTGCGTTCTACACACGTCAGCTTCAATTACTAACATTGTTCTAAAGTATTATCCTATCTACTTGTTTTCCTGTGGCTTTGGAATAAAACGAAATTCTCTTTCGCATTTTATTTGTAAAAACCAGTCGGTAATTTCAAATTCTGTAAAATATCGCATTCGTTAAGTCTTAAAGGAATAAATTATAATTTAGCTGCTTCCATGCGCGCGTAATCCTCACCAAGCATAACTTCTTTGTTTAAAGTTGTAATAGCATTACCCAGAAGATACCTCTCATATTCAGACATTTCATAATTGGCGCCACACGTCTCCACGATACCGTAGCAGCCTACTGTCGTGGGACCGGCAAAAAACCGTGTTCCGTGATGGGGATTCGAAGTTAAAGCATTCACCGTCGTTGTCCCACCAGATAGAGCGTCAACTAAACTACCCACGAACTCGTTTACAGACCAAGCCATTGCCAAGACTGATGAATCTATACCCTGCTTGTTTCTTATTACCTCCATGCCGGCTTTCTTCACCAATTTCGTTAACGTGTCAGCTTGACACGTGTCTAATCTGTGATGGGATGGAGACATACTTGAAAACAACGGCACAATAGTTTCATCAGAATGGCCACCGATGACTGGTATATCCAAATTACCAGGGTTAATATTTAACGTCTTCGCGACGTACGCTTTCGCTCTGATAGTATCAATGTGAGTGATGCCGAATATTTTCCCAGCGTCGTATGCGCAGTATTTAAACAGCAACGCAGAAGCAAACGGTATTATGGAATTTATTGGATTGGTGGATATTGCTAAGAATGCTTGCGGGTTAACATCAGCAATAGATCTACAAAGTCTTTGAACGGCGGGTGCATTGGCCGCTAACATTTGGCTTCGGTTGTACCCGGGTCTTCTTGGTATTCTATACACCATTACTATTAAATGGGATGATCTTATGGAAGCTGGTAGAAAACTATGTCCGCAATAAGTGGTCACGCGAGCAACTCCCGGCAATTCAGCTATATCTGCTCCTATCGGTATAACTCTCTCGCTATCATCATACAAATTTAGGCGTTTAATATTATGATTCTGTTTCAATAGTAAAGCTAAATTCGATCCTATACCATTAGCTGCCCCTATAATTGATACTTGAGCGTGTCTTTTGTGGTTTATACTCAAGTAATTGAATTTAGAAAGAACACGTTTCACCGGAGCAGAAGCACTTGAAAACATATTGTATAGAGATATTTCACAGAATTCAATTAAATACCGACATTTTTATATTATTGTCATGTAAATGACATTGGTAAAGATGACATTAATTGCAGACGGTGCGTTCTATTGTAAAAACTTAGGCCATTCAAATGTGTCTTAGATTCAGAAACACCTTTTTATTCTCGACCTGATTTACAGAATATAGTACATATGTAGTATAACATTTAATAAAATATTAATTTGAACGTATTCGACAACAAAACGAGTGTCTTAGCTGTCAAGTATGATTACAAAATTTACAGTTGTGTAAAAAACATAGAAAAATTCTAAACTAGTTTTTTTTTAATACATTGCTTACAATGTTTCTTAGCAAAACCAGCATTAATATAGCGTTGAATATTCGTAGAAACTATCACGTGACAGTAGTTGGTGGAGCTAATGATATCGGACAAACAATAAGTCTCCTACTAAGAACCCAACCTCAAATTAGAAAATTGGTAGTGCACGATGAGCTAGCGAAGACACCTGGTGTTGCGCTAGACCTCTCTCACGTACCGGCTCGATCTACGCTTCATAGTTACACAGGCGAATCTACCTTAGATACGGCTTTGAAGAACGCTGATATTGTTATCGCGGCCGGTGGAGTTCCACTGAATCCAGGAATAAATGAAAAGGAATGGTTCAATAAAAATGCTCTATTTATTAAAACGCTGTCAACGAAATTGGCAAAACAAAATCCGATGCCATTCGTAGGAATCGTAACGGAACCGTTGAATTCCCTGGTACCGATGGCTGCCGAAATAATGAAGAACAACGGGGATTACTATCCAAAGAAACTATTCGGTATAACATCAGTGGACACAATGCGAGCACAAACACTGTACGCGTCTGAAAACAACCTGAATCCAGAAGAATGTTTTGTGCCAGTCATTTGTGGACATTCTGACAAAACGATGGTACCGTTACTATCTCAAGCGACCCCGAAGTGTACCACGGACGAGAAGAAAGTCCACGACTACGTCAATAAATTTCGTAAATGTGAAGATCTAGTTATGAATCCGAAACCGAGGTGGTCGCCTACGTTGTCGGTGGCATATGCCGCTTATATATTTACACAAGCCGTCTTGAACGCTTTGGACGGTAGACAAGTTTATGTTAGCGCTCTGGTTGAGAATAACGACTTCGGCACATCGTTTTTCGCTGGCATAATGAATGTAACGGAAAATGGATACGGCGAAATGAAAAGATATGGGAACTTGATGAACATTGAATGTCTTTTGCTAGAACAGAGCATTGAACAATTGAGAAAAGACGTAGCATTGGGGAAGAAAGTGTTGGAACTTGCGTGATTGCTCGTATTTTTTTTTGTAATTATATAAATCATTAATTCGTGAATAGGAAATAAACCACATAAATTGTATCAACGTATACGATTTTATTGACGTAAAACCTGAATTTACAAAAGAGGCTTTCGTTATGAAAAACTTAATCATATCACAGAGATCAATTTATATTTATATTATTTTTGTACTACACACATATTCTACGTTTCACAATTAGAAATTAACGCTTAGTTCTTAATTAAGATTTAGTTGAACACTTTTGATTATGTACTTATAAAACCCTAAACAGTATCCAAAAATAACACATTCAATTGGATCTTACATAAATTGATTTTTTGGAAAGTTTTTATATTCTAAAAATAATAATTATTAATGGACATTATTAATGAATAGGACTGTATAACGTAATAAATTTTGATCTTAAATCTTCATTATTTGATATAGAAAGAAACAATGTTCAATAAAAACTTAATTATTATAACACGAATCAACATTTATTACGAAAAATAATGCTTAAACTATCTTGAACCGCCATTAGCTACAGACACAATATAAAACAGATACAGAATTGTATCAAACCCACTCTCCTCAAAAACAGTACTACTCCGATTCAGTATGAACTCTTAGAGAAAATCAAAACCCCTGAAACTGTCCCTAGAAAATAAGTTTTAAAGCAAATGTCCAAAAGACAAAAACAATCATCAGAGAATACGAAAGAAATAATACTAAAATTAAATGTATTTTCTTATAATACCGGTAACAATACTTAATTAATATTTTACATAAATTTTGGTCATCCCCCCTTTTGAGCCTCACCTTATTCCTCATTACTCTTGCTAACTTCGCTCCCCGATTCACTGACACTGGTGGACACACTGACAGACGTCTCCTTGAACTGGCTGATAAAGTCTAGAAGTTTCTGGAGGTTTCTTTGAGTCTTGATCTGATCTGCCAGCAATTGTCGTTTCTCGGCATTGTGCTCGTCCAAGTTCTCTTTTAGGGTCGCCGCTCGTGCTTCTAGCTTGCGTAGCTCTACGCAGAGTTCAATATTCCTCTCTTGCAACCGTTTCCGCTCTGCTAACTTATCTATAATATAAAATTTTTATTTATTACAGTGCGTTTAATAACTAGAATTACCCCAAGTGTTAACCTCAATATTCAGATTATTCCTATTCATACTTTATATTATAATCAATAAAGAGTGGTCAAAAATATAAGTGGTCTTGTTTGTCCTTACTAAGTGCCTTTGAAACAAAAATTTAATAACTTTGTATTCCTAATTTAAATCATGCTACTCATTCTAGGGTTTAATTTCAAAAATTAAAAATGTATAAGGAAGATAATAATCAAATGATAAGCTATTATATAACAGAAACATCGAATGATTACTGTAATGATAGTAAAAGGGCGACATTCTTTTGTTTTAAGACATTTACCAGTATATAGCTGCGTATGCGCAGGTCCAGTAGCGCAAGCAGCGGGCTCGGGCAGGGGAGCACGACAAGCGGCGCACCGTCCTTCTAGCCCACACCCCGTGTGTTGCCACACCGAACATTCTCCACAAGCCACCAGTAACGATGGCACATCTGTAATGAAATGCACAATTTGTTGTTAGTTAGTACTGTGAAAACTTTTAGGTAATCTGTAAAACAAATCTTTAAATTTCTTATAGAAGAAAACTCCTTATATCCATCTAAATACTCTACAGGTGACAAAGAACAAATGCATAACTTGCGTTTATAAAATAGGAAATAAATCATAAACCTACCGTTTCTACCACAGCCGTGACACACTTTCTTTGTTGTGTTGTAAACTGGCTCCACAGAAAGACCGACAGGTAGATTTGACATCCATGTAGGCTTGTTGTTGCTCCAGCCTAAAGTTTATACTATAGTATGAGGAAATATTCTGCCCTCCATCATATGTTAGATCTTTGCGATTAGCAGGAAAGCACCTGCGCCACGATAATTCAGACGTTCATTTCAAATAAAATGAGTCTAGTATTGTATGTAGCTTACGCTTCTAAAGTAATATACATACATACATTTTAAAAAAGACATCTGACGGTTTAAAACACGAAATGTACTTATTATTACTTTAACTAGTTAGAAGTGTTTTATTTAAAATCGGTTAGGGAAATATATAAATATGTATCAACACCAAAGGCCACTTGTGCGAAAGGGTATTTTACTTTTTTATAAAATAAATGGTGTGGACTTAATTCCGAATGTGTAACCCACAATCAAATGAGTAAGCAACGCAATAGCAGAAATGTACATTGAGTAATAGTTTATTTTATTAATAGTGTTACCTTTATTATCAGATAAAGAACCAGATGGTGATCCTTCCCGTGACTTGCTCTGATTCTGTGAATGGGAAATTATATTTAAATATACCAAAGAAACTTTGTAACAGTGTACCATATTTTTCGTTTAAATATATCTTTGTATTTGGTTTTAATTAATTCAAATTTTCACCTGCTTCCTAAGTTTTGCTGAACGGGTTTGAGGGGGGTCGCTGTGGTTCTGCAGGTATGGAAACTGATTCAATTTCTTTCGTTTCTGAAAATAACAATAATAAATATTAAAATAATAATAATAATAGCTCTAATTCATAACTAAGATCAGCACTTTCTCTACTTACAGGAAGCATTTCAAAATTGCCATAAACAAAGTCACTTCTATTGGCACTAGAAGCTCTTTTACGACATTCACTTATTCTCTTTTCCATTATCTCCTTCTGTGTGGGTGTAACTAAGCCAAGGAGTCTGAAAACCAACAAAATAATATTATTAATAAGTAAAATTGGTAGACTACTTTCCTAGACTAATTGCAGATACAAAAATAATACAATAGAAACAGCTTGTATTGTTCATGATAAAATTATCAAGTAACAAGATACAGTATAATTATCAAGTACAAGTAAATTTAAAAAATATATATCCCATTTTAAACCATTAAAGTGTTTTATTTAAATATGTATATACTCGCTTAAACTACAGACAGTATTTAAGGTAAGATATATTTATTAATATTCTCTTCTGCCAGTCTCTGTATAATAATGATATACCTCATAAAAATTTCTTTTGATACTGGTTCACCCGGCTGAGGCAATGGGGGAGGTGATGAAGCTGGAGATATTTCCATTTGTGGTGATGAATCGGAGTCTGAGCGGTCTGGCCAATCATTATCATCAAACTTTGTCCCCCTGTAACACAGTAAAGACAACTTGTAAAAAAATTCAACTTGTGACACCATATCTCATACTATATTATAATTGATTAGTCTGTGTTATTTGCTGATACATTATATCCCGGCATCCAACAATCCATTCTTTTTTTTTTTATTAAGTCAAGTAAATGTCACAGAAAAGTTTAAAAATGCATGGTTGATGCTTTGTGGCTAAAGTAGAATCTAAATATTTTCAAATTATTAGTAATTAAAAAGAAAAATATTATTATAAAGAAAATCTTTTTTTTACAATGTGGTCCAATTAGACATCAAACCCTCAACCCAACCCATTATGAATAACAGAGCCAAAATACATTGACAGGGCATCTTGTTGATGTTGTATGCCTGGGAAGTTTTACTCCCCACCAACTAAACATAACTAATACTAACTAGACAAAAATAGTACTTACAGAAAAACTTCCTTAACTTTATTGAGTGCATTTTCAAAATTACTTCTGTTGCTATGCATTAGATGTTGCAACTGTGGAAAATTTTTCACAAAACTCTCCTTCTGATTATCCTCATTATTTGTTGTATCATTAGTGATTGAGTTCCCTTCATTCTCTGAATCAGATATGTTGCTCTCATCAACAGCATTTTCAGTTTTTATTTGAATTTCATTTAACACAGAGGGTTTTAGAAGTGATGTGGATCTATTTCTATTACGATGTTGCACTTGGTGGTCTCTTAGTTGTTGAGCAATATAGCTATTGTCATTTTCAATGCTCACTTGCTTACTCTTAGCTCGAAGACGTTGTTGGTAGAGTTCTAATTCTTTACGCAATCTATCAACCACTAGTTTCTAACAAAAACACATTAGAGGTTACTGATTTTATTTTATTTTAAGATCACATAAAAACACAAACCAACTCAAAAAGTGAGATGATATAACAGCAAACAAAATTGAAGAAATGGAAATAATGTTTTTACTTCTAAATAAATAGGTATACCCTGTTGTAGGAAAAAATGGCATTATAGGTATTCATATATTGCTCATCTCTATATTATTTTTTGGTAAAAATTGGCTCTATGTTCCTTTTTAATGAAATATTGCTAACAATAAATAGTAAATATGAAAAGGACTTACTTGGGCACGACCAATGGCAATAATTTCCTTTTCGGCTTCACTTACTTTTGATTTAATAAAATTATTCTGAAAGAAAAAAAATATTGTTTTAACAAGGTTATAAATTTTTATTGTTTATGTTAAACCTTGATTTTGGTTTGGACTATATCATTTATATAAATGTACTCCTTCACTCACATTTTCATCATCTTGAAGGCGGGAAACCCAAACCTATAAAAATATTCTTCTATCAATTAATGTGCTAAATTTATCACATAAGACTTGTACAGTTAGAGGTGGGTTTACTTACCTGATGCATACGAATCGCATTCTTAAGGTCTGATTGCGTCCTTCTTATATCTTCTTTTATTTCATTAGAAACTTCCATTTTTGCAGAAAACAATGCAGCATCCCCAAATTCAACAACTATAAGAAAAAAGTTTTTATAAGAGATATACTTCAAAATGTATAAAATCAAATATAAATAATTTTAATGCGTTTTCTTGTTTATACGTTCTGAGTAGCCCTAAGATATATTTAAGATAACAAATAGCATTATTTTGTAAGAAATAAATAGAAGGCCATATTTTCGATTGAATTGAATTTATATTTTTAATAATGTATTTCAAATAAAGCTTATTAAACACACCTAATAGTTACGTTTGCTTTGATATTTTAAAACTATTGTATGAATAGAGTCCGATTAGTTATATATTAACATGGAAGTATCAAAATCACAATCACATTATAAATTTGATGTAACTCTTTGAATAATATAATCGTATATAATTCTGAATTACTTTACCACTGATCATGAACAATTCCTAAACTGTATATAATAAGTATTTAAAACAGTGAAGTAACCAAAAGTGAACTCTGATTAGAGATGCGACTTTTATATAAAGTATCATTTATAATCTGCTATTTGTAAATAAACGAAAAAATATAACAAGATAAAGAAGAAATATATTTTTTAATATGTCAACAATAAAAACTTGTACTACATAAATTCGTATAATAGTTTTCGGTACAATTATAATTATATTTGAATCAATCTCAAAAACTCGCTACCAAACTGCAAAACCTTAATAAAAAAACAAATTGTCAACCGTTAAACTGACAAACAGAAGTATTGAAAATGTGGTTCGGTATGACTGATCTGTAATTTATACTTAGTTCGTGCTATTGTACCGTGATTTTAGAGGTTTATTTAATGCTAAATTTGCTGTTGCATTTTTATTTACTTATTATACCTAAATATTATTTTACTCTACTGAAATATTAGTGAAGCACTAAATTACGTATAAAGGATCATATTTCTTATGAAATCCTTATCAAATCATGTCGGCTAAGCGTACAGCTACTTCTGAACTAAATCATGAAAATTGGGATCAGGAATTTAATAATGAACCAGAAGATGGAGAAGGTTTTAAAATGGCTGCTAAAGATGTGCTTGAGAAACGAGTTATAAGAACAGCAAAACGGCGATCAAATCTGTCTAATAATGAGGTAAGATTATTCTATTAAATAGTATAATTTACAAAATATTTGGTACCTCTGACTTACTACAATAAATTACATTAGTTAAATATAAACAACATAATTGCTATGAGTATATAACTCATAGAAATTATGTTGTTTTTAGTGAACACATACAATTACTTATTAAGGCATGTAAATTAATATATAAGAATCCTAAGAATGTTATAACTTTTTTATCATTATTTCAGGCTCCAAAAAGTGTGTTTAGCGGTTTCGGTGGTTTTAATAAGACACAAAAATCATCTTTTGATTTTTTAGCAAATTTAACAAATGGAAATAAATCTACCACATCTACTGCCAGCACTCTAGAAAGTTCGTCAATCTTCTCTCCAAAACCCTTTGCAACTTCAAGTCCTGGCCTCTTCAAATCAGAGATTTCCAAGACCTCAGTGTTTGAAAGTCCCAATATAACAGTTGGTTCTACTCAATCATCATCTGTAGTTATTGATACTAAAACTAATTCAAAGCCTAGTGAAAGTCCATTTACGGTTAAGGCACCTTCAACGCCAGTAAGTAATTTTACCTTTGGAATAAGACCCAATGCGGAAGCTAGTACTAGTCCATTACAAAAGTCCAATAATATATTTGGAAACCAGACTCAAAACGTATTTGCCAACAATACTTTTAAATCACCTACTGCTAATCCATCACCTTCAAGTCAAAATATCAAATTAGTGGAATCAGAAAATACTTCAAATAAGAAAGAATCTGACGGTGATAAGGAACATATTGATGAAAAGAAATTAACATATTACAATAATATAAAAGGACTTAATATAAGTGTATCAGAATGGGTTAAAAAACATGTAGATGAAACACCAGTTTGTATTCTGACACCTATTTTTAAAGATTATGAAAGACATTTGAAACAAATTCAGGATGAGTATTATGGGACTGAAGATATAAAGCCTAATGATGAAAAGGGTGACTTTAAAAAGGGTGTTAATAATACTTCAAAAACAACAGAAGCAAGTTTAAATATATTTTCTCAGTCACCAGGAACTAATTCGCAAGAGAAAACAACTAACATCACTTTTGGAACATCTGCATCTAACAATACATCTGCACCATCAGCAACACCAAATTCATTGCTAAATAAGTCCTCAGAAGAGACAAAAGTTAGTAGTTTTTCATTTGCCTCATCTTCTAATACTACTACCCCAGTTAAATCAACAGGCTTTACCTTTGGCACCATTCCAAAGGCACAAAGTCCAAACATGTCCAATAACAGCATATCTAAAGATAGTTCAAGTGTTTCACCTGGCATTGCCCAACCGCCTAGTGTGCCACCTGTGACAGGTACTGGATTTTCCTTTGGCATCACTTCCTCACCACAAACATCCAACTTGTTCAACACTAAGCCTGGTCTTTCAGGTACTAATGGCAATGCACCCTTTTCATTTGGTACGGGTAAGCCATTTAGTTTTAAGTCAAGCATACAAGAAAAGGCAGAAAGCAGTGAAAAATCTGCACAAGGGGATGAAGATGAAGAGCCACCTAAAGTTGAATACAAGCCCCTTGTTGAAGAAAATTGTGTGTTTGAAAAAAAATGCAAAGTGTTTGTTAAAAAAGATGGCAACTTTGTAGACAAAGGTGTTGGCACTTTATATATAAAAAAAATAGAAGAGAGTGGGAAGCACCAATTGTTAGTGCGAGCAAATACAACTTTAGGAAATGTATTACTCAATCTAATACTAAGTTCATCAATACCGATTCAGCCTATGGGCAAAAACAATGTTATGTTAGTTTGCATACCGTCACCTGACGCAAAACCGCCGCCAACTCCGATTTTAATCAGAGTCAAAACCTCTGAAGAAGCACATGAGCTATTGGAGACATTGAATAAATATAAAACGTAAAACAGCGCTAAGAAATTGATTGCAAAACATTCCAAACCTAAAAACTTAAGATTTCTTCACTGGGTTAAAGTTTAGTATATTTGGATTGTTATCTAACAAGAAATTTGACGCTAAAATCAACCTGAGAGAATGCTGATTCTTAAAAAAATTTAGTGCTTCACATACTTTTTTTTTGTAAATAAAACATCATAAAGTTTATAAAATACTTTTATTATAACAATATTAACAACATTTGTAATTGCAGATATAAATACAGTTATTAAATAATAAAATTATTATGTATGAATAATTGTAACTTAAAATACAAGATGGACCTAAGTATATTTTAAATTACATTTCAAATTATTAAGAGCCCATAACTAAACAACTTGATGATGTCTGACCCAGGCCCATTTGAATCCTTTGCATGTGAGGTTCAACATTAGATTGAAACAATTTTTGATACTTGGGTTCCAATTTCATTTTAATTTGTTCCATCGTCCCTTGGAGAACACTAAGTTCATAAGCATTTTGATCAGAATTTGATAGACTTTTTACCTGTAACATTAAGGCAGTTAGATCTGTGATAAGATCCAATAAATTTGTATCCTTTACAGAGCCATTATTATGGTTTGCTACTAGTTCAGATGCTTCTTCACGACACTTTTCGCGCAGATGAGAAGGAGCTAGCATAGCAGCTAAACTTGGCCCTGGTGCAATTTGTTGACAATATACTTGAATTTCATTGATACATTCTTGCAAGTCCATGTTCATTCTTTCAAGATCAATGACAATAGCTGCATATTTTCTTTCAAAATCTTCCGGTGTTTTCTGATCATAGGACTTTCTTTTCTCAGCCTCACTATTTAAGTCTTTTAAGTTATTAATTTTACCTCTCTTAACTTGTAAAATTTTTGTAAATTTTACAATTAGCTCAAGAAATCCATAAGGATAGGATCCTACAGTGTTATCAATTTGCTTTGCTATATCACTGCACCCAATCATTGGATCTCCTTGACCATTTGTATTGTTGGTAAGGGAAGATTGATAAAAATTAAAAACATCATTTACAGCCCGAGGTCGAAACCTTTGGGTTATACTGGATAAAAGTATTGAATCTGGTGGCTCATTTGATAATACCTCATAGTCGGGTACTGAGTGAGTACCCAATTTTGGTCTCTCAAATGTAATACGATAGGTATTATTAGAAGTATCTACAGCATCAATAGAACCAGTAAACAAACCATCTTGAGGCTTCCTTAACCTGGCTGTCACTTTAGTTCCCACAACTAATTGCATAGGTATCTCATTGGGTAAATCTTTGACACAAATATCTGCTGTTTTTCTCTGTTGTATGTACCTTATGAGTTTCCTTTTTCTTTCTAATTCTCTTCTTTCCTCCTCAAAAAATGCAGGAGAACACCTACGAGGTTTGCCCATTATCCTTCTAATTTTGGCCCATTGCGCACTAGTTAGCTGTCTATCAGTAAACTGAGGTAAAGACTCCTTTAAGCATATCATAAAATCATTTTCTCCGTCAAATATAGCTTTATCTATGTTACTATAGAAATATTCAAAACAGACCCATTTATGAGCTTTTGGTAGCTTTAATAGATTTCTTAAACGCATTCCTATTCTCTGTCCACTCTTTCTATCTGGGGATGTGCTATCAACTTTTTCATCACATTTTTCAGCATATTTCTTAACTGGTGTTTTCAGTGGTGATTTTTGTTTAGTGGCAGCTGATATTTTAAGAGGAGTTTTAAGAATTTTTGGTGAACGTTTTGGTGATTGTCGGGGAGGAGATGTATTTACAAAGTCATCAACAAATATAAAACGGTTTTTTTTACGTATTCTGGCGGGCATGCCCCTTGCATTAAGTTTTTGCATTGGTTCACTTGGTGTTGGCTTCGGAGGTAATTGGGTTCCAACCCTATGTAGACCGAGTGCAGCAGGCCCAAAAGCAGGTGGCACATCTTCCTCCTCAGGTAAATCAATATCCATTGGTTCATCTTTCACTCTTAGTTGTCTTGTAGCTTTATCATCGCTCTCCTTATCTATTAACAACAACAAAGAAGAAATTTTATCAAATTCTGTTAACCGAGAAATAATAGCGCCGAATAAATCATAAACCTTGTATTATCTATTTTATATAGTCAATAATATGTTTCTCATAATAGTATACGAAAACAAGTAGAAATAGCTAAGAAAATTTAATATGATCTGACAATTCCGCAATCAACAAATTTGAATATTTTCAAATTTTGAATAACATTGAATAACGAATATAGAAACAGTAGGAATCTTGAGCAAAGAAAATCAAGAAATTAATGTTGTAGGTTTGCGTATACAACTAGCATTACCGTCATTTTTACGATCATTATATGCAGCTAATGTGTTGAAATACAAATACTATTCAATAAAATTCAAACAAACTTACTTTCCCACTTATCCGCCATGTTGATAATTTATATTTGATTTTGAACTTTGAAGATGAGAGCGCCACCGCCAAGTTGCCACTGTCCTGCATAGATAAAACAATTTACACTGATGCCTTACAGACAACTAACGTGCCATGTCATAATATGGAAAATGAAAATGGGGTTTCGTGTAATTGAAGCCACAGTTTAAGGATTAATTACTACGTCTGTGGCTTAAAGTGGCAATTTTTCTTATCTTTTTACCAAATGTTTTTATGTCTGTGGTTTTGACGTTGAAAGCTGAAAGCAACTTTCAACTGGCTATCTAATTATTTTGGGTCCTATAAATTTCTACGTATAGATAAATTATTATACATTGTGTTATTAACTGTATGAAATAAAACATGGTAAATAACGGCCCTAACTGCTAAGTTACATAAATAATAATTCAATTTTTAAAATGAATACTGTATGGCTACTAGTATGGTGTTTAGCGGGTTGTCTGGTATTTGAAGGTGTAAATTGTAAGTCTTTTAAACTATTAACTATTGCTTATTAAATTAATTATTTACTCTAAAAACATTCACTTGATATCCTTGTTTTGATAAATTTTAATAAGTACTTAAAATTATAGTTTTCAAGGTAAAAGAAAGGCGTCATTAAACTTATTGGTTCTACTTAAGGAATCTATGTAATCTCTTTAAACCACGTGAATATGTAAGTTTTAAAAATCAAGTTTGTCATTTCATGTTTCAGGTCTAAACAAACGCTGTATAAGATGTAGATCACGAGGAGAACTTGGTTCTTGTGGAGATCCTTTTCCAACTAACGTCACTGAGCCTGAAACACAATTAGGAATTCACATAGTAGCATGCCCTTCAGGATGGTGTGGAAAAATGATTGAGGGTACAACTGGTGCATTTAGAACTGATGGTATGTAAATACAAATAAAGTTGTAGTATGATATTTATATTAATGGGTTCTTCACAGCTTCTTATAGTGTACTGTAAAAAAATATATTTAAATAGTTTGCAGGAATGTTACTGTATTCATCCATATATGTCATACCATTCATTATGTTATTACATTCCAGCCAGGAATGATGATTGCTAAACACTATAAGAAAGTCATTTTGTATATTTTAGAAGTAATCCATTATTTGGAGGGAGAAACTCACTGACCATGTAAATATTTCATAGTTAATCTATGATTATTTATAACTGTAAAAAATATTGATAGATTCTTATCTAGCAATATTCTAAATCTTTTGGTCTTACAGAATGTAGAAAATCTAATTAACTACATATACCTCAAAATTACTATAAATTTATTACTGTTGCAGTAATAAATTTTATATATAAAAATTACAGAGAAATGAGTTTACCCTTTGTGCCACTTATAGCAAAGGGTGTGATTACATTTAAATTTGAACCTTTTTACAGATTATGGTGCTGCAACACAAAGAATGTGTCTCCAAAGATCTCCGAGCGATGATGAAGAGAGATGCGCATATACAATGTGGAATCACAGAAAAGTGTATATGTGCTTTTGTAATGGTGATCTATGTAATTCCGCTCACAAACATTCCTTTAGTCTCTACACTCTTTTAACAAGCTTTTTGGCATTCACCATTTATTACTGTAAGTGTTTTTAGTAAAGTATCTGTATTGTCGGTAAGATAAATCTGTGTTCATAATGCTTAAGATGAATTTTTTAATCATTACAATACTCTATTGAATTTAAAATATGAAATCATTGTGATATTCTTGACGAGCTTATATGATGCTTAAAATAAGAAAACTCTTATCTCCAACATTAAGATAATGATTCATCAAATGTGGTCTAGCACATAAATGCAACTGCTCATTAGATAGTTATATTTTATAACACTTTAATTGTATTTTAATAACTAAGATGATAAATAATCCGTCCTTTACTTGTGATAAGATAAAAGTATGTTTTTAGGAAAACCTCTAAAATGTTATACGTAAGCTATTATTTATATATATATGTATAATAATTCTTTTGTACTTTTATACTTTTAAGATATTTTTTTAATAAAATTATTGTTGTATAAGTTTGGTTTATTATTTTATGCATTACATATTGATATATTGTACTCAAGATAAAATAAGATAATAGTCTTGTGGGTAAAAAAAGTCTAAAGGTATTCTTTAATTCAGTATGTAATTAGTATTACCCTAGGTAAGGGTATAGAAGGGGGAAAATAAATTCTAGAATCGGTAGAAAGGCCAAGAATGTCTTATACTGCCAAGACGATGTGGTTTCAAATGATTCTCTATTCTCAGTTCTTGATTATCCAATAAAGATTGTATATGAGGAATATCGTGAAAATATAATTCGCCGTGTCGTTTCGCTTTTATGACTGCTGCTACTGCATTGGAGCCTTCCAGGAGGTAGGGGTCCAAGAAATTCCCTGAAAAATAAATATTTTTATGTAAAAATTAATATGTTATGTTAAATAACTTACGCTATAGTTTGATTTAACTTCGTAATTTAGTGTGTGTATGGAATCTTGTTCCATGGACTAAGTATGGTAGGACCATAAATTTAATAGTTTTCATTTATAAATTAATCACATCATAAATGTTACGGCATAACCACCATTCGTTTACTATCGTTTAATCGTACAGCTACAAGCTTTTTCATGAAGTATTTTAAAGAAATTTGATTACCAAAAAACAATTCTTGCGAGTATCTCTTAAAAGACAGATAGAAGTGCCGCGGGCTTTTTTAGAGGTTATTTAAATAAAAATAATTTGTTTATACATATTTTGAGTAACTTGACCTTTATCGCAATGCATGCAACGGTAGTCCTTCAAAAAGAAAAGTTTTCCACGTTTCCCTCTGTTTCCTTGCTCCTATTGCTCGGACCGTAATGTTTTTTAGTCTAAAGCCTTCCTCGGTAAATGTTCTAACCAACGAAAAAGAACTTTGAAATTCGAAGCAGTAGTTCGTGAGATACGCGAGTTCAAACAAACAGACAGACACTTCAGTTTTATATTAGTATAGATTATATAAAAAAATTAAAATAATTACCGACTATGTCTTTGTTAGATCCGGGATTGGAAAATTCATGTTGGTTAGAGCGTCGGTGTATTTCGAGCCGTGCAGGTGGTATGAATAGTCCTATGGGCCATAGAGATTCAGGATCAGCGGAATCTACTTTGTATGGCGATTGTGGTAACAGGGGAATTTTCTCTGCAATAAAGAGACGAAATTGTAAATGTTATTTCAGATATATACTACTCGGTATTTACAATAATTGTAATTTAAAATTGTACCCTATATACAACAATATATGAAAACTTTACTAATTATTTTAATCATGGCATTATCTAAATAAAATAAAATAATACACGGGCGGGACCGCATGTACCTACCGCTGTGGATGCCAAAATACACAAAATAAAAAATCGCCGTAATTAATATAACAAATTTAGTTAAAATACTTGTAATATCGGAATCCGAACTTATTAACGTAAATTTGGAAAGCTTACACCAGCGTTACCTGCGCTAAATATTGTTTGTTTCCATGGGGATGTATTACGGGTGGCTTCGTCTGCATAAAACGGAATTCTGGGTTTATGTCTTGGATAACCAAATTGCCCCTGCGTCGCTTGAGGTGCTGTAGATATCATTTTATTTTTAGTTTTGCTTACGTGATAGCTTAAAAATCTATTTTAGGTTGAAAAATATCGCTGATTCGGGCAGTTCTTGTACCCACAGCGCTGCGAGTCTACCCATTCCGACAATTACTGACCGAGTCGAAGTCTAAAATTTAAAATATTTCCGTATTATTAAATTTAGGTTTAACACAAAGCGATCATGTAAACATTTACGAGTACAAACATTTTCCACATAAATCGTACATTACTTATTTCAAACTGATTTGAAAATAGCATATCATTTAAATAAAACATTTTAACGGTTCAAAACGCGTTTTATGTAAACGCATTATAGGCAGTATTTAGCGTGTCATTATTTTTCGGGCTGTTCGGCCGACGTGGGCGGCGAAGAGGTGCTCAAAGTTTAGCCATCACGAGCGGAAGGCATCATCAGAACTTAGCTCCTCGATAGCTCGCAGCATCATAATTCTTCGAGCAAAAATGATTTGAAATTGGTTTGCGCTTTTTTTAAATATTCTATTTTAATTTGTCAATTTATAAAATATTCTATTTTAATATTAAAGTATCGTCTCAAAGATGGTTTTGAGCATTTTCTTTCAGTAAGTGGATAGCAAATTGAAACATAAGTCTAATTTTGACTTCCAAAAATATTTAGAACCTCGAAGATTTCTTGTTGGAGGCCGCGAAGATCCTTGATGGAAGCTTCTTCTTTGGATTTGGGGCGTTGGATGATCAACTCCATGTGCGTAACTTTGCAAAGGCGTCGTCACGCGAATGTGGGACACACCCTGAGCTCTGCACATTGTGTATACAAGATGCAGGATAAACAGCGCGATTAGCGGGTATCTTTTCTGAAAAATGAGACACAAATTTAAGGAATTTACAAAACTTTATTTATTTAAAAAACATAAAAAAAGAAAAACATATTATAAATAAAGACGACCTTATCGCTAAGCAGACATCTTCTAGGCAATCTGAAGTACAGGAGAAAAGAAATAGAAAAAGACTAATTACTTAACATTAATTACAATAACGGAAAAATGGCGTGGTCACGTATTGCCTACCGCCTACGACGCTTAATGGTTACACATTTCCCAGTAGGTAGGTACTGCGTAAAATACGAGAGGTTTTGGTATCGAATAATGGGGAATTAATAAGTTGTTTTGGTTGCGCAGGGACATTGCTATAAGAATTCGAAGTGTATTGGACACAGAATTATCTTGGCCCAATGCTGCGTAGTGGTAATTTCAATTATATCACGAAAATATTTAAGATGAAACGTCTATATTTATACTTTAATGAGATATAATCTCAATTCTCATTAGTTTCAAAGCCACAACTACGAGTAGTTAAAAATGATCTGGATTTAGGCATCTCTCAATCTTCCTAGAGACCTCTCTTCATACGAAAAATTTATTTGAAATTTGTCTTAAATTTTACAAAAGATATCCTGCTAAGATTGAAGAATTGAACCAAGGTCGATTACTTGGATATTCCAAATTTGAAAAAAGATTTAATCTAAATGATGTAAGTGCAATTTGTTGAATATAATGTAATGTTACAAATATAGATTACGATCACACTAAATCTCTATACTTGGCGACGTACATTGAATCCTAGTCAAAACTAGAGTTTATTGTTAGTGCACAAAACAAACCTAGGTACAATTAGATTAAGGTGCGAAGGTAGTCACAGAAATAAATATCGTCTGAAGTTGCGGTCAAGTAATATATGCAATCTAGAATTACAGTGTTGCAAGTTGCAACGTGGGACAATAGGAGACTAGGTGTGTTGTTTCAATTCGACCTGTGAAATTGTGCAATCAAATGATCTCTGTTGACGTTGACATACAAACACCTGGTCAGACCATAGTATTATATTAACCATATGCCCGCTATGCCCGCGACTTCGCCCGCGAGGAATAGTGACTTGTTTGTTTATTAATTTATGTAAGGGCGCATTGTAGGTGGGTTTTAAGTGCTATTTTGCCGCAACACTCTCACCTCACATCACTCCTGCTCTAACTCCCACACTCATTCCTAGAGCCGCTCCCACTCCCATTCCTATCCCCAAAAAGCCAAAGAAGAAAGTTTTATTGTTTTAGCCTCAAAAAACTACGAATTTCCATACAACTTTTCACTCCCCCCCTACTTTTAAACCTATACAACCTAAATAAAAAGTAGCCTATATCCTTTGTCAGAGTCTAGACCATCTGTATACCATATTTCATTCAAATCCGTTCAGTACTTTTGGCGTGAAAGACAGACAGACAGACAGAGTTACTTTCGCATTTATAATATAATATTATAAGGATCGTAAGGATAAATGATATGTGCTATACGTATTTCCAGCTGTTTTTAGATTTCGTTGTGTTGCACTGAGCATGATCACATATACTTAGATGCGTGCACTTAAAAGCTTATATGATTTTTTTACATAAGTCAACCAACAGACCTTATATTGCTATATCAATTGAGCTACCGAATTTTCCTTGCATATGTGACCATATTACCCGAACATTTTTATTTATTCATATAATAATACACTTGATACAAAATAATATTAACATTTGATTAATCCATGTTTTAGAATACTGTCTATAGTTTACGCGAGTAGTACACATTTAAATAAAACACTTTTACGGTTTAAAACGCGATATATTAGTTAAAACTTATTTGAAAATGATTTTTAACTTCGGCCCGCTTAACTAATATATCGCGTTTTAAACGGTTAAAGTGTTTTTAAACATGTTTAAGAAGTCGACAACACAAAAACCTTATTTCATATTAACGTAACAATGATATTACGTAATATTTTAAATTAATATCTAAACAATTTACAATCCGACATTAAAAACTGTATCACTAATTGGAAGTTTATGATTTTGATTTATGTATACGTTAACTCAAGGTCCCATCAACAATGGAAATAAAACAATAAACTTTATATAATAATGAGGATCCCTTCGGCTAAATTACTAAGTGCTTCATCAGATCTCATACGCATGTTAAATCAGCATTAACATTTGGATAAATCACGATATGATACGAATATTATGTGAATGCGTGATGTTATTGGAATTCCGATTATTGGAACCTTGATTTTATTACGTTTAAACGTTGGAAGAAGTTCACGAATTAAGCGTATTAATTGAAATAGATTGTTTAGGCTCCATTAATGATCTTGTTATTGCCTTCTGATTGAATTACGCAATTGGTGCTTACGGTCTATTTATTATCTATACTAATATTATAAAGCTGAAGAGTTTGTGTGTGTGTTGAACACGCTAATCACTTGTTCGAATCGGACAATTTTGTATTGGTTAAAATATTTATCGAGGAAGGGTTTAGGCTATAAAACATCACGGTGCAACTAATAGGAATAAAGTAACAGAGGAAGGAGAGGATGAGGTTCTCTTCGAAACCAAAAAATATGTATGATAGAATGATTCTTCAATATAATCATGATAAATTATCAAAAAATGATGACGTCGTGGGTAATAGCTATATTTTATTAAGCTGAGAAGGTTGTGTGCAAAAAAATGACGCGCAAAATAATTACATCTCGCGGACGAAATCGCGGGCACAGCTTGTTAATTATAGTCGGGCAATATACGCTTGTTCATAGTGTTTGTTTTAATATTAGTAATCTTATTTGCTTAAACTTATTTAGCGCTCACACTGCGCGACCGATGATGGCCAATTAATGTACCTTTGTGTAACTAGTAAAAAATACCGCGTCAAAATCGACATAAAATATATATGTGTAGATTTTGACCCAGTAATATATACATTGCAAATAAAAGTAATCTTTGTCTTTTTGTTGAGACTACAATTGATTCTGGAAAAATTCTAAGTTGAGTCTTTAAAAAACGTTTAGTTAGTAATTAGCACAGGTATACAATTATTTATTTATTAAAGCAAGATGATGCTAAAATATTTGTTATTAACAGTACTGTACCTTAAGTAGAAGCGTTTATGATAATCATAACTTAATTTAAACTTTAAAATAAAAGTATTAAATACTCAACTCTTCGATATCACGAGTCAAGAATTTGTTTGCAAATTACAATACAGCTTCCAAACGTGACTATATAGAAGGCTCTAATTAACGAACTTGCAGATGCTTTGCGATAATTTATTATTGCGCAAGTTTGCTCTCGATCGCGAGTGTATTTCGCTAAAAGCTCATTGATATCAGTGCGCCTGCGTCATTTTACCTTATGAATACATAGCTGTATCACGAAGCCCCTTTGTCAGGTTTAGTCACGAAATTAAATCACGGGATTCCAAGGACTTTTTAGGCATTTGCTTTTAATACTTATTTTAACTTGTATTTTACGCAAATGGTTCACATCTATACTAAAATGTAAAGCTGAAGAGTTTGTTTGTTTGAACGCGCTAATACCAGTAACTACTGATTTGAATTAATTGTTTTTTCCTTGGTTAGAGCATTTATCGAGGAAGGTTATAGGCTATACATCGCGCTGTAAAAACGTAAAATATTTTAGCTTTGTGGGCTTTCGTTGCGTACGCTACGAAAACGGATCAAGATTCCCAAAAATATGTATAAAAGAATGATTCCTCTTTAAATGATCTAAACAAAAATGTGACACTATATATCTATGTTTTTTGATTAAACAAACACGGTATGTTTCAATGATCAATGTTATTAGTGCAGACAAATAGATGCTCCGAGTTTAATGCCCGGTAGAACTAAAAGAAAAACGCGATTTGAACCCAGAACCTCAAAACACTGAGTCACGTACGCCGTCAGTTTTATTTAACATACTTTCCTAGTTTATTATATTGTCTACAATATATGTAGTTAAAACATAAATCTTTACAAAGAATATAATCATGGTTCAAACTTTTAAATAAAACACTTTAACGGTTTAAAACGCGATATATTAGTTAAACTTATTTGAGAATCAGCAGCCGTGACCGTCTCCCCGTGACCACGGCTGCTGCAAAGCATCTGAAACGTCGAGCCGAAGTTAAAAATCATTTTCAAATAAGTTTAACTAATATATCGCGTTTTAAACCGTTAAAGTGTTTTATTTAAATGTGTACTACTCGCGTAAACTATAGACAGTATTTCAAGGTTGAAACTATAAATGTTTTGTTGTGTTCTTAATGGAACCAAAAGCCTTAACTATTTCTAACTAATAAACTATTTCTACAATTAAGTACTAGAATTTTGTTGTGTTAGGATTCCGTTACCATATATTCCATTAAATTATCCGTTGGGTTTTTACTAGTTTGAACTTTTGACAGTAAAACAAGTCGGTCTACCTAACTAAACTGGTTGTCATAAACTCCAAAATTTCCATGTATGAGTAACGGAATCTTCAGAACAATGATAAATTCTTTGTTATGCCTTTAAGTATGTTTTTAAAGCTTTGTAGTTATATATGACTTCAGACGTACCTGCTTCCATAACCTTAACTTTCGTGGGCATGGGGCGCAGTGGTAATCAGTCTTCTGTGCCGCATATAAATAAAAGTTTGAACTAGGTGCATGGCTGAGAACTTATTGCCAAGGATTTTAAATAATCCTTTCACGTGACAACCGGAGCATGCTGTAATAGACTTTGCGTTCTAAGTTATTAACCGACGACACCACAAATGTGAGGTATTCATCGTTGTTTTTATTTCTAACGATGTCGATTTTTGCTCCAATAAACTAATAAGTACTGTGTGTAGTTTACGCGAGTTAGTTCACATAAAACTACTAATTACAGTTTATAACGCCAAATATATTACTTAAAAAATACTTTAGATTCTTTGCAGCAACCGCGGTCACGGGGGGATCATGGCCTCGTCGGGCTAAACGATGGGCCGTAGTTAAAATAAATTGTTAAATAAGTGTGACTAATACATTTGGCGTTCTTAACCGTTAAATTTGTTTTATTTAAATTAACAAACTTTTTTTAGAATACATGGGGTATAAAATAATATCAATCGGCGTTCCTACCTACGCCATTACGTGAGACCATTCGCTCTTCTGCCTCGCCTTTATTGATTGCACTTTCACCCGGAAAAACTCTAAACAAAGTTCAAGTCATTTTCTTCAGACCGTTTAAGAGGCTTTCTTTAAAGCCTAGTACTGGACCACCCACGATTTAATTCCTGAATATATTTTAGATAATATTATTGTTAGATATGCACATGAATATAATAATTAAAATCACATTTCCCCCCGTGGGGCATGGGGCACAACAAACACATTTGACACCGTTTCGCTGATTCCTTTTATTATAGCCAACTAGTTGATAAGGTCGGTGTCCTATAGAAACAATTGACCAAACCAATCAATTGTTTTCACCGGATTCAAACCCAGGACTTATGCGCTTAACGCAATGCGCCTAAGAACTTGTACTTATTTATTTAGCTACAGAGGCGGTCAGTATCATCGTAGGTAGTGTTCAATTGAGACTATCTAAGTACAAAACTTTCCAATGCATATTTATATGCATTAAGAAAGTATCACGTAACATATAATATCCATCACACACATCCTTCTTGTTCTACTACTTTGATATTCCGTTTCCCTATAGTCCTTAGTAAAATAGAATAATTAAATACCTACATACTGTCTGTAGTTTACCCGAGTAGTACACATAAAACGGTTTAAAACGCGATATATATTATGTCTCCGCGACCACGGCTAGGCAAAGCATGTGAAACGTCGGACCGTAATTAAAATATTTTTCAAATAAGTTTAACAAATATATATCGCGTTTTAAACCGTGAAACTGTTTTATTTACATAAATAACATAAAATCATTTGTTGTACATCTAACGAACTTATAAAAACTGAGTGTGAGTGATATAAAAGGATTATTTTAGACAATATATTTATCTTAACATATGCTGTCTCATGTAACTTTTTGACAAAGACAATTATTGCGGACGTATAGTAAATTTTTTCGTATTTCCTGCGCGAGGATTGGCCTAAAATATGTTTGTGTCCGTTTTACTTATTAAGAAGTAGTTTGCGGAGACTTCAATGTCCTGCCCAATGGAATTAGTTTTCCCAATATTCGAGCCACACTAAATGTATAATAGACAACGCCGAAAATATAAGTATAAATCATTTTCTCAGGCAGGACTTGAACCCGCATAAGCGTTGACGTGCTGTTGCTCTAACGTGTAGTGGTGTGGAGTACGTGCAGTAACATGTGAAAAATATGATAGTTTTCAAACGAAACTAAAATAACAAAAAACCGAAAACCCTGCGAAATTCTCAAATACTTATATTCGCAATGCACCAATAACTGATGAAATTGCAAAACTTTTTAAATTAAAGTTGAAGCCAAAAGAAAACTTCCTAATAACCTAGATTTTTAACGTGCACCAGTATTTAAACTACGTCGAAGATCAAATTTCGATAAAACTAATTTAGTTTTGCTACAAAGAGAGTTGTCCTTTTAATTTAACATATAACGTACGGTATACCTATATTGAATTGCAAAGAGGAAATTACTTCATAGTATATTTGTGCATATGTTATAGGTACTAATTGCTTAAATACTGTCTATAGTTTACGTGAGTAGTACACATTAAAATAAAACACTTAAAGTATTTTATTTAAATACTAATTGCTTGTATTCTTATTAATTTTATGAAAAAAATATTTACTCGTAGAACTTATTTTTTATGAATTCATAATATCTCTATAATAAATCGCTTCGCGACAATGTAAATGATCTTTCGAAATAATATGCAAATTATATAATTCTATAAAGATACTTATATTCTGTCTAAAATCGTGGTCAAATCCAAAAATAAATATACTTATTGCTTTAAACAATTTTATATAGATATTTTTTTTAATGTTTTATTATTATTTAAATTATAATTTAATAGTTAAAATAATATAATTACGATTTTAAAAGCTTCACTCACCATCGTGATAAACTTGCACTACCTCGAACTCTTTTATCAAAGGAGCGGGAAAAAATATTTAAATTACGAACGCAAGCGTCAGCTTTCGCGATTTTCGTCTTCTGCACACTCCGTAGAAGTGTAGACTATGTAACGTCCACTCCATATTGTGCGCAAGATCAAGGCACTACCGTTCACCATCACCATCTTTCTCCTTTACGAAAAGCACGTGATGCATCTTAAGTATGAGGTATTATGAAAGTAAACGATTGCATGGTGTGGGAATGGCTTCCTGGAACATCTTGTCGATTTTAATTATAATTTAATACTAATTTGCACCAATTTCGCATAGGTACTTATAAAAACATTCAATAATAATTATATTTATTGGCCAATTAAATTATTTATTTCAATAAATTAAGTCATGTAACATAAGTGTTTGAGGACATTTTTACAGAGGACTTCATTACACCGTATTTTTTTTTAATATAAGAGTGTTTAAGCCTCTAGCTAATATTATCTGTAAAAAAATCTTATAAAAAAAGTCTTGTCACTGTCGTCAAATATGTGATATTTACTTTATAACTGTAATTTTTTAGTTTTCTTACCTAAAATGAAATAATATATGTTTGATTTTATAGACAACATTAGTTTTATACTTTTAGAGGAATTTGTAGATATTCTTGATTTTCTATCGTTAAGAAGCTTAAGGTTGTATGATAAAATAACAGGCAATTTAATAAAGATTCTGCGAGGGCGATTGGGCAAGAAAAGACGCAGTGATAGATTTTTAGTATGAACAACATCATAATTCAATAAAAGGACATGCACTTCGAACAACATATGTAAATAAATTCAGCGCAGCAAAAGTTAAATTGTTTGTAATTTATCATGGAGAATGAAAATATTATTAGTGATGAACAGCCTTTGCAAGAAACAGAAGCGCAAGGAGTAGTGCAGGATGTGGAGTTAAAGCTTGAGGACCAAACTGAAGACTCCGAAGCGGTTATGGGGGAGGGGACTGAAAAAACTGATGGAGATACAGTAATGGGTGAACACGATGAGCATGATGAATTAGTCGGAGAGCATAAAGAAATTGCCATGGGCGAAGCATTGGGAGAAGAAATGGTGGGAGAAGAAATGGAGGGAGAACATTTAGAGGGAGATGAAGTAGAAAAGAAAGAAGAAGTGCCACCGCCCGTTGAGGAAGTCGTCGAAGAAGAGGAAGGATACGTTGAAGAGCCGCCACCTGACCCTGCCGCTCCTTATGATCTCTCTGACTCCAAAGAAGCACTTAAGCCTCCGTTTGAATTGAGACCTGAACAAGTGGCGGAAGTAGAATTACTTTGGGACTATTACCAAAATTGCACACCCGCTTACGCTAATTTGGATGGTTTTATAACTGAGAAAGAATTACTTTACATGCTCAAGTGTCTTATGCTCATGACTTATACACCTGAACAGTTTGAAGAATTAATAGCATATTGTGTGAGACCACCCCATCCTCAAGGTCATATAACATTTGAACAGTTTTTAAAGATGGTTACAATAAGACAAAGAGATTTTCCAGTTGAAGAAGAACTCCGAACTGCTTTACAAGTAATGGATCCAGATAGAACAGGTTCAATTGATAGAGAGTACTTAAAAGAGACTCTTTCTAAGCTTGGTTATAAAATGCCACAGAAAGCATTAGATAATCTTATCAAAGAAGTCGATATGAGTAATGATGGAACAATAGGAATTGAGGATGTCGTTGGCACGATGTGCATTGATTTGAATAAAGAAGATCTATTAATGCTCATGGCTTCCTTACAGCCTCCAGATGAACAGGTGCCTCCAGAAGAGGTTTAAAACCAGTTTTCTCTAGATTTTTTTTACTTGCACAACTTTTACCAAATTATGCATATCAATGTAATACTCGTATAAATATCAAACATTGTATCTATAACTTTTTATCTGAAAAATATCATTGTAATAAATCTTTGATTATGTCGGTTTTATTTAATATTTATAATAAGCTTATGAATTTTTGTTTAATTCCTCAAATTTTACGTACGAGTACATAATTTTATCAAATAGTATATTTAGTATGTATAAACTGATTTCGTTAAATTCTAGCGGTAAGCGAATGTTACCTTACAAAATATAGTCTATGCTCTTAGTTGTCAATCTGTATTACCGTTAGGTACTGTTTGTGTTTGGAGTTACATTTTCGTGCCTTAGTGAGAAAACTTTGTTTACAACACTTATTTTTACGTTATAGTGAGTTTAATAGAATTATAAACGTGACAATCATGAGAGAAACTTATTTTTTGTTTGCTTCGGTTGTGTTACTTTGTATTAATGAAAGTAAGTTATTTTGTTAAGGTGTGCAAAATTAGGAGGGTGTGGTTTTTCTATAACACTCCTTGGTATACTTACTAGAATCCTTAAAACTACACCTTTGTTTCCTTTTGCACACTTTTATATCAATATTTAACACACTTATATATAAATTAAAATAAATTTCAGGCACAGCAATTTGGTGCTACCAGTGTAATTCTGCAATTCCTGGATGCATGGAACCATTTAATTGGCGTGGTATAGGCTACTTGGGCAGTCCGTGTCCAGATAACGAAGATATTTGCGTCAAACTTATAGAAAGAAAAGGAGGTATAGTTTTAGACATTTTTTTTAATTATTACAGAAGTAACTTATACTCATGATGATTAACAGTAAACCAATGTCTCCTACACATTTTGATTTTTCAAGCCCCATATTTTACAAAAAAGGCATTAAGACAATATTTTAACATGTTTAAATCTAGCCCAGAAGGTGATAACAAGGGATTGTCTAAGTAACTTTAGAGCCTTCAGGACAGACATACCTGCAGACACATATGAAGGGTGCAGAGCAGCAGCGAAAGATGTAAATCTGGCAAACTATGTCAACAATACTATAAAAGAAATTGACATTAAAAGGTACGTACTAAAATCTTTTAATAATGTAACAAATTATTTTAATTTTATTAAATTTAAATACAGGCTTTTAAAACGTGATATTGAAGTCTGTATTTATTTAAATTTGATTTCAGGCGCATGTAAGTTTTAATTTTTCTTCCTTTCAGGGATTGGTATGATGAAACAACCTGGTGTTTTTGTTTCTTAGACCACAGATGCAACGGCAGTTCTCATGTATCAAATTCAATACTATTATCTCTATTCAGTATTATTGTATACAATATATTGTTGTGATGTTTAGCCAAGTGGAACGAGCCTATATGAGAATTATAGCAGAAGGATAATATTGTGCAACAACTATTCCATTATGTGCCTTGCTACATTTCTATGCAAAAGACATAGTACATTGATTTAATATTAACTAAAATAAGCCATTTCATATCAAGATATGATTCCGTCCAATTATATCTAAGTTATATTTTATACAAAATATGACTATAATAAATATTATATTCATATTTTGAATATAATATTTATTGATTATGTACACGTCATATTTCTTATTTAAGAATTGTTGATACATACATTTAAAGATAGGCAAATTGTAATAATGCCACCATCATTGTAGTAACTATATTCAACATCTTGATTATAGTCAGTGCATTCATACACCACATGTTGTATATGTTGAACTTTCCTGGATGCTCTTCTATAATTTGTAACATTCTTTTCGCCTTTAATCGAAAGGGTCCTGGTGTATAAAAGTATATTACTTATTACTCAGTATGTAAAAGTCTTATTATATTATTATGTATCAGTATACATAAAACTTTCTTTACTTGTTAAGTACTAGCTGTGTCAGCGACTTCGTCCGCGTGAATCGTTATTTTGGGCATCCAAGTTCGTTTCTTTAAACCCCTTCATATTTATAAACATAAGCTGTTTACTACGACTGCTGTCGCGTTTCTTCCCGTTGTTCTTGCAAGTTAATCCTAAAAGATGGACAAATAGTGTCGCGGACTTTTTTTATATCATTTAAGGAGGTATCGTTCTTTCATAAATATTTATTGGGTATCTTTTTAGCCTTTATTGGGTATCTTAGTAGCCATTTTTGCAGCGTACGTCTCGGAAACCCTTTCCTATTTTTTTCTCACTGTATCTTCGCTTGTATTAGTCACAGGGTAATGTTTTAGCCTATAGACTTCCACGATAAATGCTTTAACCAACACAAAAAGAATTAGTCAAATTCGAACCCATAGTTAAGATTAGCGCGTTCAAACAAACAAACTCTTCTCTACTTAATATATTAGTATAAGATTTCGACGAAATTTGATTACAATAGAGTTAGCTTTTGTGAATTAATTTAAAAAGAAAGACATTTTACGGAAAACTTAAGGTGATTAATTTTCTCCATATCCCTGTTTTTGGCACCTATCGGTTACAGCTTGATATTTGCTAATGTCTAATTAAATTCTAACCAGTATTTCCAAGATTAGCGCGTTCAAACAAACAAACAAACTCTTTATAATATTATTATACAGTATACAGTAAGGATACTTACCTTCTTGGTACTTTGAAAGTAGAGCAATACAAAGGTGTCGGGTCAGTTTGACCTCTCTAAAGAAAGCTTCACAGCGTATGCAAATAAACAGAGCCAGAATCATGTTTAAAAACAATATAGTTGGCAGCACAACTATTTCAGTGTAACGTAGTGTCTGTTAAATAAGTTTTTTGTATAAAGATTACAAATTAAAGATTATATTTCATAAAATCGTAATCATTACTTACATTATTTTGTAATGCACTTATCCCAGTTTCAAATGTAAGAAGAGATAGTAGTACAAACTGATTACAAAATAACATCATCTGGAAATTAATTTTATGTAAGATTATACTTTTGAGTATTACTCAAATTTTACAATTACTAAAATAAACATTTTTAAATGGTTAAGACACAGAAATAAGAAATCCTCGTACTCATCAATACTACTTTCAATAAAAAGTTGTGGAAATTGAAACAGACCAAGAAAAATCCCACAAGGGTGAAAAAAACTTTCATACTATCTAAATATAAAATTCTCGTGTCACGGTGTTCGAACTTGAACTCCTCCGAAACGGCTTGGCCGATTTTGATAAAATCTTTTGTGCTTATCCGGTTTCTATGAGAATTGGCCAACATCTATTTTCATCCCCTTAAATGTTAGGTTTCTGGTAGTCCTACCCCTAAATTTTTTCAATTTATGGTCACTTATTTTTTAGTTAAATATTATTTATTTCTATTTTAAAAAATTTTTCCCTTTTTTTTTTTTTTAAAATTTTTTTTTCCCAAAATTTTTTTTTTTTTCCCCTTTTTTAATTTTTTTTTTTTTTTTTTTTTTTTTTTTTTTTTTCCCCCCCCCCCCCCCCCCCCCCCCCCCTACTTTTTTTCCCTTTTTTTTTTTTTTTTTTTTTTTTTTTTTTTTTTTTTTTTTTTTTTTTTTTTTTTTTTTTTTTTTTTTTTTTTTTTTTTTTTTTTTTTTTTTTTTAATTTCAACTTATGATACAACATACAAAAATACATGCAATGCTAAATTTTCACCCTTCTACGATCAACCCTTATTTTTTAATAGCCATTTTAGTAATTTAATCATTTTCTCCGCAAAACAACGTTATTTTGCCCCCCCCCCCCCCCCCCCCCGGGCCCCCAGGTCAGCTAGTAACCTCTATAAAAATTCAGAAGTAGGAATGCTCACTTGAAATCTGTAATGGTTTTGAAAAGTTGTAAATCCCTCTAATACAACTTTAAGGTAGTGGTCGGTGCAACTTGTTTCAAAGTCATGAGTTTCTGATGCTAAACAGCGCATAAAATGTTCAGTAAAACGAAACCGTGTTGGTTTTAGACTTGGGCTACCTTTTAAATGGTTTTTTATAATACTATTTATGAAGCGTATTCGTATAAAGAAGCCTATCATGAGATTTGCACAGTACAACCATTCAATGGTACATATGACAACACTGTATAGAAGTCCGACAAAACCGAGAGTGAAGGAGAAATTTTCATAGATAGTTACACAGTACGCAATAACCAATGTAACGATGCTGCTAAGAACTGATATTGCATTGATATTAAACATGATTTTATTGATTTTGTAGTTTTTGTGTACCCTCATGATGCGGTCAATTTCTTGGAGTTGAATATAGAACTTCGAATTGGAGTCAGAATTTATGAATCTTATATGAATAATGTTGCATAGAAAAGTAAGATAGTAAAGAATTATGCTGGAAATAGATGTATAGTAGACTGCACCGAAGTAGTAGAATCTGACAAAGTAAGTTTTAGTTGCGTAGATGTACAGAACTAGCGTAACAATGACACAGAAAGTGGTATAAAGCTTTTGTAGGATGGTGGGGGGGCTGACGAATCTGTCTCTTATGTCGATACGGCAGGAACCCAGCGCCATCTGTACGTAATGAAAGGGCGCAAACGACTTTATATATTCTTCATCTAAAATATCTGGTGATACGTATTCAGGTTTTGCCATTTCTAATTTCTATAGTAAATTATACACTTGGACACACTAAAACCGTACTCTGCTAGCCACTATTATAAATACATCAAATTATCGCTCTGTCATTAGTTTTATATGCCAATCAATGGATGGGAATTTCGTTTTAATTGAACCTCCATTAAGCTAATTAAAAGGGGTAGAAAAGTGACAAGTTGATAAATTGGTATGAGTAACCTTATAATAAAATTAATGCATATTGATGGTAAAGTGATAGTACTAAAAATAGTATATTAATTTATTCTATCAAAATTACTACTAAACTCCAACATTCGATATACTTAAATCCTAAAGATTTTTGTAGAAATTTGCAGAACAACAATAACAGTAGACACATTATGAACTTATTGTTTCTAAAAATGCTCGTACAATCAGTACAAATTGCGATGATACATTTTTTAAATTAATTTACTTATTTGTTAGCTTGTTGCAATAGATGAACTAAAAATAGGAATATCCGTTACTTCCACTTTTAATTTTAGCTAACAGAACAGCTTCTTAGTAAGCGAAGCGTTGTTCTGCTGGGTAGTTGAGTTTGTCCAACGCTGGGTTACAAGCGAAGTTGATCATGGGCGGTGGACCACACATAAGGACTATGACGTCATCACCAGGAGGGAAGAGGTGATCACGAATCATTTCGTCGTTGATGAAACCGGTACTGTATTTCCAACCTGAAATTACATATTCATATGATATCATACTGTGATAAAGCAAGAGAAATCCCTTGTCTGCCCATTTATTAAACTGATAGTTTCGAATAAGTTGTTTTTTTTTTAAAGTATTACATTTTCCTCCGAGACTAAATGTTGCCAGACATCCTAAATTTTAAATTATATTACTTTTCATAATAAAATTTCAATTTTTTAGGCTATCCAAGGAAGATTATTAAAGATAAATAAATATATAATTTATAATTATATTTCTTTAAGTTTGCAAATATAATCTGGCAATGTAATCGTTTTAACCAATTGATGTTACTTAAAATTATTTAAATATGTATGTCATTGTTTATGACAACTAGGGACGACATCGGGGCCATAACTAGTATTAAGGTAACTTTTAGTCACCTTGATAATGAACGAAAAGATAAGACGCGACAGGAGTTGATCGGCTTTAAAGTATTTAGATAACAATACACCTGGCGACCGATTGTTTCATGTTTCTGTGGTGCATTGCTTGTTATTTGTGATTTTAGGTTATTCGTACTTGGCTCCAACATAATTGTTTAAAACTAATCGAACTAATGAATGCAATTATTTGTTTAATAAATCCTTTTAACGTTTTTAAACGCGACGCCTAAACTACGGACAATACTATATTTTCATATATTTCTAAACAAGGTCTTAGTGAATAAATCCATAGAAAAACCAACCTTCATTTGGTCTATCCAGCGTGTACCACAAACTCAATTGTTCTGGATGTTCGCGCTGATATTTCTCCAGTTCTTCACGCAGCAGAATATCTTGTTCCGTTTGGTTGGCGAACAATAGTTTCATTTGAGTTGAGTCATTTGGATCTTGACAAATGTGCCGTATGAGTTGCAACATTGGCGCGATGCCCGTTCCACCTGTAACATAATTATTGTATCGAGGTTATCAACTACATTACAAAACGGACTGGTAATTTTTTTTTTTATTTTTAGGTACATGCTAATAAGCGTTTTTAATTACAAGTTTGACCTAGAATTTTAAAGGATAGGTGTTTATTATGTGACCTAGCTAAAAAAGTTACCACTTAAAATGTCATTTGTATTTACTTAAATGTATTTAAACAAAAACCGTATAAGTCCGCAAACCGCATTGTTTACGCCATTATATGAAAATTACAAAAAAAATCATGTTTGTTGTTTATGAATCATTTCTTTTTTATTTTTCGTTTAGCATTTATTGATATAGCAGCAGCTTAAATAAAACATCACTAATTTTAACATTGTTTTAACCACAAGATTGGTACTTTGTAACGTAAGTATTTTGAATTGAAAAGAATATATAATTATTTGTTATCTTAAATAATATAAAATGGTAATCATAAGTTTCATTAACGTGAGAACAGGAAAATCTACGATGATGTTAAACTACGTCATTGGATTTTGGTACAAGTACAAAGTACCTTAGAAATAGACATAATTGATATTATTATTTGTCTACGATAACGATATCAGTCCCACCAGACATAACTTCACGTAGCTGTGATATAATGAAGATAATATTTTTTATTATACCCCACGTAATTTGCAAATGCCACGAGACTATGTTGACTTTTACAACCATAAAATAACACCTTTGATAATTCACGTATTTTTTTATTTCTAATCATTGAAAAAAATCGTAACCTTTACACTTTAGAGCGTAACACTTGAATTTTTTAATACATTTTTGCTAGAATTCATTAATAACTTCTCTGACTATAAGTACTATGTACTTTTTGATGTCCGACCTAACTTTTTTTATTGTTCTTTGGAACCTAGGACACATAACTTCATTATGCATAGAAGCAAACAATGGCCAGGTGATGTTTAAATGAGATTAATTTGCTCATATGGTGTATTAAAATAACCAGTAACCAACAGTACAAACTATCAATTTTTTTGCCATCACATATAACAGATACAGATGTTTATTTGTTGCTTAACTAAGTGAAGACTACAAATGCTATGTACTTGTGTAGCCAAAACTTTTATTAACTGAAAAGAGAGTTATAAAGGCATAATGGTTACCTAAATTTTTCAAACACTAAAATACATAAATTAAGTTAATTTTTAAGATGCCCATTAAATAAAAAGATTGAAAGTGACTAACCAAAATAGCCATGTCATAGTGTGGGGACTTGAGACACTAAACCACCAAATATAATGAACAATGAAGAATTTTAAACTTTTGAGTTGGTTTTTTGATTTCTCCTGTACTTATTATTGCAAGATTTATTACTCCAAATTTTTTATAGGTATGATGTTATTGTTGAAAAATATAAGTCAGTTTTATCATTCAATGACATCTACCTTATCTCATTCTATGTAAAAATATTGAACACTCACTAATTGTTACATTAGAATAATTATTAGTGGTACTTGATGAACATAATATAAAAAAAGACATAATTAATTGTTGACACAACATGATTATGCTAAAAGTTATATAATTGTTGTTTCATAACAAAAACCTAAAAAAACTTTTGTACTGTAATCATGACATTTCATATTTAAGAATGACAGTGGCAAAATTTAGATTTTTCTATGATAATTTTCTTAAAAAATTCTTGCTTTAAATATTCTATAAACCAAATATCACCTCCCGACTTAAGTACAACAAGGATTCTTACAGTAATTACTAATTTATTATTAAATTTTGTGCAAATTTTTGCAAAGTAAGGCTTTATAAACTAATATGAATATATTCCCCATTCCTAAAATGTTAACTAAGGTTAAAAATTAAATGCCATACCTGCAATCATATTGAGCTTCTTCACAACAATTTTGTTTGGTGGATCTTTTCTTAGTTTTTTGATAAGGAATGTACCATTTCCGGCATATTGAAGCCTACCAGAGGGACCTCTTACATCAATGGTGTCTCCAATTTTCATACTTTCCAAGTGTTGTGACATTTTCCCTCCGTCAGGGAATTTTGGATGGACATTCTTAAAGTATACCTGAAATACATATAAAATGTACATATGATTCAGATAACAACACTTTTTGTGCACATATTTAAAATTTATAACCTAGTGTTTTTGTTTAATATTTCATGGTCAATATCACAAAGTTGCTTAGAATTTTATCATTTTTCTTAAATATACATATACCTATATATTTCTGTCTGACAAAAAGTTATTTCTTAGGTTGTTATGAAGGTCAAATCATTTATTGATATTACATAATTGTTGTTAGTTCCATTTGCACCTATGGAACAATATTGTAAGGTAGTATAATGTAATAAAAAATTATTAAGGTTCTCGGTTTAATTGAGTGTCTACTTCTAGGTATGTTAATTATCAAAATAATTATATATTAACAAACCTTGATGACCAAATCCACATATCCCTTTTCTTCATCACTTGAGACTGGTGTGTATGCTCGAATGATAAGGTCATCATCTAATTTAACAGACAAATGTATATGCTGACCAATGGGTAAACCTGAAATATAATTTCCATGACTTATTCTTAAATACTTTCACCTTAATAAATAAATAGAAACTAATAACTGTTTTTATAAAAACTTAGTCACTCTTATAGGTTAGGTTTTTAAACTTTCAAACTTGTTGAAACTTAAATATGCATGAGTTGAGAACTATGACCCTAGAAATATATTTTGTGCAGCTAAGAGAAAAAGATCTTACACTCTACATTCTAAACAAGAACATATATGAGACACCCAATTAACTTACCAAGAATGTGATCAGGGGACGGGAGACCAAATCTAAATCGCCTAGTGTCATGACTTACTTCCTCACGCTCAATTAGAGGCAATGGATATTTGACATTGGGGTCTAACAATGTTACAGGATTTTTCTTCTTCTGTGGTATAGATTTTCTACCCCAAATGAAATTAGCGATAATAGTCACTAAAACTACTGCTACACTCACACCAGCAATAATGGGGAAAACCTATAAAAAATAAAGTAACATTTAAATTACATTTTCCTGTTTGAAATGTAACACAAATAAGTTTAGTCATTATATTAAGTTATAACAACATGTTTATTAATGTTAAAAAAGCATTATAATAATTATAGGAAATTATAAAATTAACAAACCGATGCTTGTTCATTATCTGTAGAAGCAATTTCTATATTACTCATTGTAGTAAAGTAAACACAACACACAAGAGCACTGATACTAAGACACTGAACTAATGACTATAAACAATGATTATGAAATTACATTCGCTGATCGAAATAATTACATTTATCTAAACCTTGAACTTTACTATCTTGATTTCATTGAACGGTCCCCGGGGGATGGTATATTATAGTGAAAAAAAGGGACGTCGCGTTCCTGGGTCCCAGAATTTGGGTAAAAAAGGCTGTTTTTTAACATTACTTACCACAGACATCGTAAAGGAGTTCGTGAAGCTCTAACACACAGTACAATGGAAAATGATTTACACCTCTTCATAATCGAAAGATATGAAGATAAGGCGGATAATTTTATCGAAATGATTGGATAATCGTTTTGTACTCTTCAAATATTAGGAATTAATTTTTGATTAGATTTGTCAGGAATCTTAATAAATAAATAACTTACGACTTTGGGGTTATTCATGATTGCAATCAATTTTCATGCTTTCACCACATTTTCAGGACAAGATTTCATAACTTAGGAATCGCTATGTGGAAATATAAAAAATTACATAAGAATATAATATTAACTACCTACGAATAACCTGGTAATTATACCTAAATAGATTATTTTGCAGGTTTTATTATTAATAGTGCAATAACGGCAGCTATTGTATCAACTTTGTCAGCAAAAAGGTCAGCAAGTTGCAATTGCAAAGCTTAAGCTGAGCTTGAAGTACTGGGAAATCGAAAATATTTTCCGGTGTAAGTGTATGTTACGTAGGTACCTATATATTTCATAATATTATATTTAGCGCTGACAAGAATATAGATTCAAACGTATCAGCTGAGAACAAGCCATACCACAGATATAGAAGGGAATTAGCGTTACATTTGCCCAGATGTTCACTTAAACCACAGACGTAATACGATGAAACGAATATGACACATAATACGTGTGTGACACATAGTACGGCCAAAGTAAAAGATTGTGAAAAGATAGATTATATAAAAGTATTTGGTCTTATATTTTATCATCACGATCGTAAAACGATCTTTTATAATATAAACGTTAAGACAAATCTTGGTGTTATAAAACAAAAAACATTTATTCCTTTAAACTATCAGTCAGTTCATTTCTTTTAATCACGTTTTTTTTATTAGTTTATGACGCTCTCCATAATATGTCTTTACGGATAGACTCACAATTGAAAATGACAACCTAACCTTGTTGTAGAATGTCAAAATGGTCGATACTTATTTTGTTTCGCAATTTTAATATTTTTGCCATCCGCGAAAAATGAATTTTGTACGTGATAATTAAAACATTCATTGATTACTACTATTAGTAAAATATAATTACATACCTATTACTATTATATACTTCGTATATAATTATAAGTACTTACTTCACATATAATTCCGCTGAAGTTACTCTTCAAATTTATTATAGGTACTTTATATCTTAATTAAATGTCTTTCAAAACCTTTTTTTCTTTTTTTTCCTTTTTACATACTTCGAGGAACAAGCTTACATTTATTAAGTTAAATCCATTAAGATTTTCTCAGATCTCATGTTGTTTTACTAATTCAAATTTGATACGATTGAAAAATAAAAATTACTTTTTTTAAATCTGTCTTTTAGTATTTAATATTGACTAATTGATGCATATAAAATATACATTTGTTCTTGTCATTCAATTAATTTAACAATATTATAATTTTCTATCAGTTGTGTCGTTTTCATGCAGTCCGAATAATTTCTCTAACACTTTGTGTAACACCTGTCACTAGAACAAATAGACCGAATATAATCAAAAACAGATCTTTGTAAATGACGTAATTAAATTTTCCAAGTCCTCTCTCCCAACGAAATATAAGGTCGATCAGTGAGGGTGCTATTAGTCCAAGGAAGGAGTAGAAAAATGCCCCTTCAAGTCCAATTACTTGCTCTAAACGAGGCAATGTTGCTGCTGCGGCAACTGTAAAAGATAACCATAGACTATAAGTTATAATCTATCTCTACAAGTATATAGTTGTAGAGTTTGTTTGTATGTTTGAACGCGCTAATCTCAGGAACTAGGGGTTCAAATTGAAAAAAATATTTTTGTATTGCTTAGAGCATTATCGAAGAAGGTTAAAGGCTATAAAACATCGCGTTGTGTTTAATAGGAACGAAGAAACAACGGAAAATGTGGAAAAACGCTGCGAAAACGATTCAATATACCCAAAAATATGTATAAAATAATGATTTTCCTCTTTAAATGTAATAAAAAAAATCCCAAAATAACTATTCTACGCGGGCGAAGTCGCTGATACAGCTAGTTTTAAGAATAAAAATAAAAAAAAACAGCACCAAGATAATTGAACAGTATGTTTAATGCTAACTGGTTTAAAACGTGTTATTTGAACTTAATATTATGTACCTGTTAATATTGCAAATACAGCCCTCATAATTGCTTGTGCGTAGTTATGGTATTTTTGTGTCACACGAGGTTTTACGTTACGCCATACAATCTCCATTGGCACGTAAAATTGCAAGATGTATGTGAAGAATATAGCTAAAGTGATAAACGCTTTTGCCATTAGTGCGGGTCTGGAATTAAAGAACAGATTGACATTAAATTTTGATTCTGTGGCACCTAACTTGTCGCGTGGGCTACAAATACCTCAAATACTCTATACTAAATTGTAATGTATTATTTTACCAGTAAAACATTTTAGAATGGCTGATTCTTGACTAGTCACACTCGTAATTGATGTCGTTAATTACAAACATCTTTTTATTACAACTTTATATTATTTCTAACATATAATGTGTACCCTTACATTTCTTTTGTAGGCAGGTTTAAAGTTATGCTCCCAGCGGCGTCTTCGCCGTATTTTAAATATCCCAAAATACCCATAATCATATAGAGCAGAACCACAATCGACATGGTGATATTTAAAACGCCTGGACATCCAAGAAAATGCTGCGGTTTTGCCATTGTGTTTTCAACAGGCAGTACTACGCCAATGCCTTCCATGGCAAATATCACTGTTCTGAAAGGGTAAATACACACTGTTAATACTAATTTCTCTCTGAATAACTAATTATCCAAATATGTTTCAAAATTAGTTAATACATATTTCCGAATGACCGACACTGCAACTTTTTTAGTCTTGTCTGTTATAAGAAATGGTTTATTTATTTATTTAGCAAATTACACAACACTGTCCCTTATGATAAGTAAAACTTATACTTATATAACAAATTCTTATAGAAATCTAAATGTAGATACAGTTCATGAGATTTATTGAGAACATTGCAAGAAATGAATTTAAAAAGAAATGCTTCACGGTGAGAAACAGTTTCCTCTACAATACAACAAAAACATTTTTTTTAATTATACACATTTTTGATGTTACATTTAAATGTTAATTGCGAGCTCGAAAGTGAATCGATGTAATTTAAAGTTTAAACTGTCATTATAAAATGAAATCATCATTATCATTGGTAATTGGTTTTTCCAGTTAATGAGTAATTGAAGCTTACCCAATGAATAACGGTAGACGTCCAACATCCACTGACTTTGGTTTGGAATCAAAATCGGGAAATTCATCGCATATGTAATAAAGGCATATGAGAAACGTTAATACCAACAGTATATTGGCAAATCCAGAGAACGGCGCTATGTATTTTAGATTTTTAATTTGCGTAAAAACTAAAATAGGGACGAGAAACATCAGACAATACATCGTTTTATTTATGCTGTTGTCCACGTAATAAAAATCGACAATCTGCAAAAGATAGTACAAACATTAAACTTACATTCACTTTATTACTATATAATGAAAAATAACGATTAATAATACATCTAGAAATCGTTTATAGTCAACATTTTTACAGCGTTTTAGTTCTTTTCAGTCAATAGAGGATAGTCTCCTTTCCACTCTATCTCCAACATAGGACAGTGACACAAAATGCTCAGTAGCTGTCGATTTTGTGCAGCATGACTCATTTCAGTGAATAGACTACAGTGTTCTTTACTGGCATCAGTTAGTGCAACGTTATTATTCGAATATACGGAAGAGCTAAATCGCCCTTAATATAATTTACAACTGCACATAACGCTGTTGTCTATCATCCAAATACCTGTTGAACGGAGTCGACGAGAAGTATGACATAAACGGCACAGGCGCCAAGAATTGTGAGTGCCATCGCCCAATCTATAAATATCCTGAAATTAAAGAGATAATTTTAATAGAAAAGTTTTGACTACCTTATCGAAATAAAAATTGTTATCAAAATAGCATGGATTAAATATTTAAGTTATTTTTTTCTTAATTTAAAAGGTATATGTAGTTATTAACGTGGCTTAAAAATTCAAACTTTTCTACTGACTGAAATAAAATTAACTGATATCTACTGTCACGAGTAGACGAAGACCGAGCGAATATATGATTTCAAAAATCTTTCGGAACGTGTTTCTTATTATCGATGTTATTAATATGACATTGATCGTAACCCATATTGTTAATATCTGTACCATGTCGTATTTTAAAAGTAATGAGACACTTTTAGTTTCAAATGCTTAGCTTGTTTTGGCCACGTCTTGAATTCACTATTAACATATACTTTTCACTCTTTGCTTTAATATACTAAATAGTCAAAAGATTGTAAAGTTAATAAATAATAATATCATTATTCTAAAATTATACCTGCTTGCCGTAGATATTTTCCGTACACATCTTGGCCCTGTTGCGAATACAGCTTCTACGGTTTCCGCGTATCCGAGCGAAGGTACCTTTGTTACCCTAGACACATCTTGTGAGGTCTTAACCTATAAAATACTTATCGATTAAAAAAGTCATAATTTACAACTACTATACAATACTAAAGTATACAATAAATTATATCAACAAACTATTTATACATTAGCTTAAAACTGGTAAGAATTGGAGCTTACCAATAAGTAAACACAATGTGTACAAATGTATCCTAAAATAATTGTACCGAAAATGCCGATTATAGAACCGGCATTTTTAAAAGCAGCGGGCATAGCCAGGATCCCGGAACCCAAAGACGATTTCAGTAGATTCGCAAAGGATCTCACATCTCTGAAAGTTATAATATTATAGTTAAATAATGTTCTGTATGTGGAATATAGACATATTTTTGTATCCGGTTTGTTGATCGATTTTATATACATATGTGGTTGTGGGTTTATCGGTGCAGCTGGATTTTATTTAATTTCCAGATTTTATAGACATGTAAATCGTGATGTCTTGCATGAACCATAATCTTGTCTGTCTGTTGTAATAAAAATGCTTCTATTGTATTCGAACCCATTAATCACAAAAGCACTTTGCATAATAAATATGTATTAAATATACAATTTACAAAGATACCCACTCCCTGTACCTATTTATTTTCAATATGTACAATATACATAAATGATGCACCTCATAAGGTATTTATAAAATTACGTAATCAAATGAGTCATCGTAACTCAATTTTCCGTAATTAGTACTTTAGTAGGTACACGAAAACCGGAAAAACGTGTCTAAAGCTAGCCAAGGATTTGGTATAGAAAGGGTTTTCTGTTACTAAAGGACGTTTTCTAATCACCATTAAATAGCTAATAATTAGTCTCTATTAAAAATACTCACGAGTTCGGATGTTCAAGTTTTCGGTTCTGGAAGGGGTCGTAACCATTTTCTTCAACGTCATTTTCTTTACATTTTGTATTTATTGTATTTACCGATATCGTTGAAGGGAAAACTCCATTTTCTGTTATAACAGCCCTGAAAAAGGGTTAAATATGAATCGACCAAGTCTTCTTACAGTATTTGTATAGATGCAAACGCAAAGTCCAGTTTCTGCGTAAAATAATACCTAATTGTTTTGAATTCTCGTGAAAATCCTGATCGACCGGCTGCCTAAACCAGTTTGAAAGTAATTGGCATGATCGAAAAAGTATTGTGGACGAGTTTTGCGATACAAATTTCTTGTATCGCTGTTGAGTCATCGCCAACTCAAAAAGAGCAACTAAATCAAATGTTAGTATGTTTGTATTATGCTGGTCCATTGGTACTTGTATATTTGAGTTAAGATTTCGGTCCTAGTCGGGCACCTAATTTTTTTATCTTTTTAAATATATCTGACATTGAGGAGGAATCGTCATGTGGATATGGGCATGTCTTAGATAAAAAAAAAATGATTTTTCTTCTCTGCTTACGCAATTGGTCTGAATCTCAGAAAAGAGAAGCTAATAATGACATTTAATATTTAATTTGTTGAATATTTGACTGTTACTGTACCTTTTAGTTACTATATTGTCTTTTAAATTCTAATATTATGAAATCAAAGATTTGTTTTGCCGTTCATTTCAATTCTTTTTTCATACTAAGTTTTAATTAACGTAAAGACAGTTAGACTACAGGCACGTTAAAATACTCGAGTACAATTTGCATATGAATACGGTGAATACTTAAAATGGCCCGAAAGCAATAAACTAGTTTTTTTTATATATCATAATATTTCACATTAAGCGATGTTTATGAAATGTTGTACAAATGGTACCTACACGTTTTTTAACAAGTTTGAACGATACTTATGTAAATTTTTAAAATAAACATATTCAAATAAAAACCCTTTTAGTAAATTTATTTACCATTCCCTTTACGAAACCCTAGTCAACAGAAGTAAACAATGTCTCATAAAAAGCTGAGCATAGGAAAACCCTTTACAGTGCTTATAGAATACATACATACATACATATTACCTATAACGATTCTTATTAATTTGTAGATAAAAAAACAACGGAAGTCTTATACTGACTATCAGTTTGTTGCACTCGTATGTTGTATATTATAATTGCGTTTTACACATGTCTTCACAGAATAGATAAGTCTTCATAGAAAAAATATCGTTGAATGTAAACTAACATGACATGAAACAATTTTGGCACTTTTGTTTGACGTTTTATCAAATAACAGGCGGCACGTGAGTTAAGCTGCATTCACCGTGATTTTATTTGATATATCTGACTAGCGAGTTTATGACGGAAAAGATAGCGAACGCTCAAAATTAAATAGGTAAGGTACGAAGGAATTTAATTAAGATTTTTCAATTACCAAGTATGCAGACATTGAGTATACTTGTAGGTTTTTACGATTAATATAGCTGGCATATGCGGACTATATCAATCTTAAAGTGAGGGGTTTAGACAGTATTTTGGGATTGAAAAAATTTATAAATTATTGAGCTTCTGAAGATTTTTTATTATTATTATACCCTTTCTTTGCTACTTATAGCGATAATATAAAAAGCAGAATTTAAAAATGCAAATTAACAAAGGCGGGAATTTTCAATAATTTTTTTTTATTGGCAATTAAATAGAATAACTCGTTATCTGGGATTAATAAGGGAAAATGTTAACATAAGATAAGATAAAGTTATCGTCTCATCATCATTAGATCCATAAAAGAGAATTGTATATGTAAGACTTATTTTAACGCCCGTGACTTTTCATTAAGCTAAATCACAAAATTTATGAATTTTCCATATCCTAGAGATAAAATAGTAAAAAGTAACTACTGATTGTTTACTATATAAACGCACCTCAATTTGTCTAGATTTATTGTACTGTTGCGGTTTTGCGTTAAAGGCACAAGTTCACAGTAGCATCGTCGGGACGTATTTCGATGTATTGCACAAATGCGTCGTCTAAATCTAAAATAGTTTTAGGTATTTGGGACACCTAAAACATTTTAATAGCTTACCAAATTAACCCAAGTTCAAGCAATGGTATTAAATTTTGTTTACGTAAATAAAAACGTACATAATCGTTCTTTTTCCTCGTTTTAGGAAGAAATATCGTTAGTATAAATTAAAAAGTGAGTTTATATTGATAAGAACATATAATTGGCTTTAAGAACCTTCATAAAAACCCGCTAGTGAAGAAGGATAAACACGTAGGTGTAAATATCAATACTAAAAGGTTGCAGTATCTGTCCGTTCAAGAGTGATAGGGATATATTAATGCGACATTTTTTCACGAGGTTATTGAAGTCAGCCAAACAAATTAAACGATTGATGTTATGATTCATCAAAGTCTACACTAAGACAATCGATATAAAGTTTAATATGGTATCGTTGGATAGTAATATCGACGTTAAATATTTACATATTAATTTAGTTTGAAAGTGGGAGTCTGGTTGCCCACACAAACCTTTAAATTTGAATCCAAGATCTCGCGAAAGGTATATTATTTATAATTTTTATTGTTTAATTACGGTGGCTAATATTTATATTTCTCAAATTGAAAAATCGTAAAAAAAACTATTTTGTATAACAATGAAATTTTAACAGCTTCCGCGACTACGCTATATATATACAAAAATTCGTACAATACTTACGTCGAACTAAATTCCTTCATATTTAAATTATTTGACATAATCACAGCGGGTAGTCACTATTTGATTAACATGAATACTTGATAATACTGTTTCGTATTTAATTTATCTCATTTTCTTTTAAAATGAGCTGTGTTAACGCGATCTTACTGGCGACATATCCGCAGGCATTAAGCGCTCGTCTCACACTGAGTTTGAAATCATTATGCTTATGAATACAAGAAAACTTGTGTTTGATAAATCGACATCAGTTTGGCACGATTCACCGTAGAACTCGTGTGAATAGGTCTAATCGCACTGCAGTTCTATAAATATTATTATTATTGTGTTATTTATATTTTAATTGTCCAAGGTTCCTAAGCCATTAAAAGAGATATAAGTATTTGTTTACTTTGTAGAATTTTATTGTTTCCTTGAGTTGGATTAAAATACCAACCTTTTGAAGTCTTAATCGTGGTAGACTGGCTAAGCTTTAATTCAAACATAACGTCTATATGACATATACAATATATAACAGAATTATAAGTGATTTTGTATAGTCTTTGTATTTCGAAAATTATATATTATACTGTAAAGGAAGGTACACCTTCCCATTGAAAATAAATGGACTTTATTTTTTATTTTCTATTGTTTATAATACGTTTCTGTGTTATTTCTGTTTGTATCCTATATTCTTAAATATGTTGGTATTTACTTAGGAGTTAGGAAGCACCCAAAACTCAGTTAAAGTCTTTTCGTGTATGAATCTGAAATTGGTGTCAAGGGCCTAAGGGAGCGAGCGGTTTGGTGGAAAATAGAATGTCGTTTTTACGGCACGTGCAAGCTTTTACATTGTTGCCTAATGCACAAAGATAATCTGTACTATTTATATAGAAGAACATTTCAGTATATTTTTAAGGTTTTTTTCGCAGGCGACCCAAGATTTTAGAGGGAAATAATTGTTGGAATGAGATTAATGCTGTAAAACACTACAAATATTTGGTTCTTAATTATTACGTGTTCCCAAGGCTCCGTTAATGCACCGTAGAGGAGGTGTGTTCAGCGGTTCTGGTCGGCTATACGATTTACCACAGTCCCCATGTTACTACTGCCCAATGTTGGGCAAATTGGTGCATTAGGCATTCACACCATTAGTTAAAAAAAACTGGTTCTTAACTTTCAACAACATCTGTTTAACGTTACCGATGCTCTTAAGCAGTCGTGGTCGCGGTTTATGACATCAGAATTAAGGGTCTGACCTATCACGCAGCTACCTTGTAACTTTCACACACAATCATGCGCATACGCATACATATGAAATAAACGAGCGTTATAATGATAACTGTCATTTGTTCTGTGCATTCTAGTCTACAAAATATAATCTTCTGATAAAGACAAGTAAGCCATGTAAAATCTTGAAGTATATATGACTTAAATGAAATGTAGTTAATTATTATTTTATAGTAGCCTTTGTCCGCGGCTTCGTCTGCATGGAAAATTGATTTTCGGCAGATAAATACGTTATAAACTAAATTATATAATTAAAATCATATTTGGGCTGTAAATTTTTTCTCTTAAAAACGCCTTTATATTATGTTGACTATACTATTCTTGTTCGTCATTATTTTATGACTATTTAATTAAACGTTAGAGCTCAATCCGTTAATAACAACTGCCATAAATGTTTATCTATTCTTCTTTTGACTATATTATTAAATAAATAATTAAAAGATTAAGCATAGTATTTTATTACTAGTTGTGTCAGCGCCGAAGTAGAAGAAGATTTATTTTGGGCATCCAAATTCGTTTTTGCAAACCGCTTCTTTATCTTAATAAATTAAAGCTGTTGCCTACGACGTCGGCAGCATCCCATCGTTCTTGTAAGTGAATCTTAAAAGATAGGCATATACACTATGCGCGGATTTTTTTAACATCATTAGGTTCTTCGCTTCGCAGCGCAATATTTTATAGCCTTATAACCTTCCTCAATAAATACTCTAACCAACACAAAAATATTTTTTTCAATTCAAACCAGTAGTTCCTGAGATTAGCGCGTTTAAACAAACAAAGTCTTCAGCTTTGTATATTAGTGTAGATTTTTGCCTAATTATACTATAGAGCACTTAGTTTCCCATGGCCAGTTTCTTATCATTTATTCTTCTTCTATGACATATAATTATCGTATTTTATAAACCTCTAATCGTGTTAAGTATGCATTATTTATGCATGAGTTGTACTTTTGCATTTAGAAACTACTTCGTGTTCGTTATAACCTAGTTTTAGATATTTTACTCGGCCCATTAGTTTTATTCTCTAAATTATACAAATTTCGTACGCTTAAAATGTCTGTGTATTGAGACATTTAAAATAATGAGCTTGCATTTATCGTTGAGATTACTAGTATTTACTTAAATGTCTTAACGATACAGTGAAGGTTGTTACACAAAATTGCGCAGAGAAGTATTTCATTTGCTTTGACCAGCCAAAAATCCTCGCAAAGGAGAGTTTTTCCAAGATTGGTACGCAAAGCAATTGAAATCAAAAAACACCGAAATTTCAATAGGGAGGACGGCCTCAAATTATCTAACACCTGGGATCACATATTAAAAACTCTGGATCCCAATAAACAGCATACCGGCAAACGCGAAGATACAGTTAGTCAATTCTGTAAGGACCTGGCCAGTTTCGCCAAATACCAACTTCGACGGAACAGATGACGCTAGCAATTTTTACTTTGCCGTCAGAGACATCCTCCATCTTTAGTCTCCCCGTGACCACCACCACGAAATATCGGGTCGAAGTTAAAAATCATTTTTAAATAAGTTTAACTAATATATCGCGTTTTAAACCGCTAAAGTGTTGTATTTAAAAGCAAATTATTGTTATTGTAACAATATGAATGGCCCATTGATCGTGAATGGCAGAAAGGCACGTGCCGCACAATAGATTATTTTTATTTCATTCAAATTATGCTTACTTATCATAACGTAACTCCTTGGGAATTTAGTTTTGGCTAACGCACAGCACAATAAGAATTAGTTCAAATTGTAATATGATACCAACTTCACATGGAAATCTACAGCTATAAGTAGGTACTAGTAAGTATTATTTAGGCGTAGAGCGAGTAAATATACTTTAGTTAACTTATTTTTAACTACAACCTGAAAAGCATCCAAAACGTAATATTTATAAGCCTTTTGCGCACAACGGACGCCATTTTTTTTCCTAGGATTCGAACCTTGTGCTTTAGTTAACCTTGCAATGCTTCAACCTCTGACTCGTTACAGACTAAGGCAATGAAAGAGTAAGTCGTGGGGGTTAGTAACAAAAAAAAATTGTTAAAATAATATATTAATAGTATATTCATTCCATTCTACCCTTAAGTCGATCAATAATATCACCGACTGTTACAGCACATCCTGATATAATACAAAACACACCGAACAGAACAATTATAACATTCTTCCACAGAATCCATTTGTATTTCCCTAGATCTTGCCATCGGAATATAGTTTCCACAATTCCTGGTATCACCAGACCAAGAATAGAATAAAATAATGCACCAACTATATTTGTTATATACTCTAACATCGGCAATGCTACACCAATACCACCTAGAATAAAAAAAATGTATAACGTCTCATACTTTCTGTTAAAACTTAGTGCTCCTACCAAAATCTTACCGCAAAAGAGAACAACGGCGGTTCTGCCGAGAACTTGCGATAAGTTCTTATATTTTTTCTTTATATAAGGCTCGGTAAATCTTGTGAGTACGCCGACCACAACGAAGAAATGTAGAGGATACGTAAGGAATATCGAAATGGCTATAAAAGCCTTGGCGCAAACGGCTGGCCTGAAACGATAGACGAACAATTAATTATTTAGGGTAAAATGCAGTGAACATGTTTTGTTTTTAATAATTTGAATGTAGGGAGATTACTTATATATGATATTGTTTATATAGAGGTTGTGTTTTTTAAACTGGAGCACTATGAGGACATACTGTAGAAGATAGAGGGAGTGTTTGTTCTAAATTTGTCGTTCATTAATTTATATCAGAACATTTTTTGTACGTGTATCAGGGTTTCAGCAGGTGGGAACTATGATGATGCCTTTTACATAAAATATATTTTATTTGATTCTACTAACTTCTGATGCTAATTTTTTTCTTCCAATACAGTAAAGTACTCATTACATTAGTCTAAATCGATGATTACGAAAACTCGCACTTGATCAAAAAGATGTATGTCAAACTTGTGAAAAAAAAACTAAATATTTCCTAAGACAGTTTAGCTTCTATCTTCTATAGTATCAGATCACCCAGTACTGCTCCAGGAAAAATAACAAACATATAATAATTGTATAACCTAAAGTAAACTCTCCCGATTATGTATGTACACATTTATAGCACAACATCTGAGACTACAAGATCCGTATTTAACATGTAAATAACACGTTAAATACGGATCCCGTACTTGTTATCTGTAAATGATAAAGAAAGTAATGATAAAGATCATAAGATGGGAATATCATATGAAGATTTCTCTTACCAGTCGTCTATAGGCAGATTCAAAGTAATTGATCCTTTTAACTCGTCACCATATCTGAAGTATCCAAACACACCCAGGACAGTATATAGTAGCATAATGAATGTCATTGCGATAACCAGGACACTAGGACAGCCAAGGAAATGTTGTGGCTTCTTCATAGCATTCTCAACGGGCATCACCACACCAATACCCTCCATCGCGAAGATCACTGTACTATCGTTTTTGTTAATCACGTTGTTTGTTTAAGAGTAGAGGTTAACGATAACATGTTAAGAAAAGGGGCTTCTGTTAAGAACAAAAGGCGGGTAGATGCTAAATTTCGTGACGTCACTTTTCTAAATATATATTACATCTAGACATTAATAATTCTACACGTAATTACACAAATATGTGTCTTTATAAATGTGCTAGAATTAGAAAAGGGTTCCTAAAATCATGTGACTACGTCAGTTAGGGACCCCCTCAAAGAAAATGCTCATTTCAGGCCACATACGGACAATGGTCTTGAGAAAGTACTTTTTAATATTTATCTGTGTTCCGGGTAACTTTAGAATGATAGTCTTTATCTCAAAGATTATTTTCTTACAATTTTGAACTTATTTAACTTGGTAAATTTTGTAAATTGACTTACGAAAGGAACGCTGGCAGTCGCACCGCGGGGCCGATAACTTTTCTGTCATTTAATGTAATTTCGTCCTTGAATATATAGAAAATGCAAATAGCAAATGTGACTACGAGCAAAACATTGGCGACTAAGGAGAACGGCGCTAGCCATTTTAAGTGTCTAATTTGGCACATCAAACACAACGGCACAAGAATAGCCAGGCAGTAATATTCTACTGGTACTATTACTGATGTAACGTAGCGGTCGAATAACTGAAATTTAGATGACACTGTAAATATGTTTAGAAACATTTATTGCAGTTCATATTAAGCAGAATTAAATTTTAAATTCAGAATAAGTAATATATTATTTAGCTTATTATAATAAACAATATAACAAGTGTTTAAATACCTGTTTAATAGAATCAGCTATTAGGACAGTGAAAATACAACAAACGCCTAGGTAAGTCAATAATTGCGCTACTTCAGCAAATATTCTGAAAATATTAGGATTTTATGTAGTTTTTCTCGTGGTTAATATATATACTGTAATTAATATGTGATTGGTCTGAAAATGTACATTAGCTCATCATTAACTAGTATGTAACAAATCTCTAATTTTTATATAAAACATAATCCTATAATTCAAATACTTTTATATCCATCAAAAAACTCATAATTATTAATAAGAATGTTACCAGTGCTCTCTGACTGTATTTACTTTATTATAAATATTCTATTTCTTATTCAACTTTACAGCGCTTTACTTAGTGTATAGTAGTCGCCAAACTAAGCTTAACTGACATTGTGCTATATTAGACGAAGTATAGTAGAGAGTTAAATTTCCCTCACCTCGCAAACCTAGCAAACCTTCGAAGTCGTTTGGGTCCAATGGAAAATGCAGCTTCACATGTTTCCGCATAATTAAGCAAAGGTTTTCTCATTGCTTTACAACAACCACGAGAAACATTCACCTGAAATCGTAATCACACAGGAAATAACAAGACATCACTCAACCGATCAGAGTTATTTAAATGACTGTATTATCTAAAATGTTTCGAAACAAGGAATGTATTCTAGTTCATGAAATACATTATAGTTTTATACTTACGAATATGTGAACACAGTGTCCACAAACGAAAGCTACAATTACTGTCCCAACTATACCAAAGCCCCAACCAGCATTCGAGAAGGCGAGGGGCATAGCCAATATACCTGAACCTAAGGACGCTTTCAGCAAATTAGCTAAAGATCGGATATCGCTGAAATTCAATGATAATGTCGGAAAACTTTAATATGCATGCAGCATATGATGACATTGAATTCGAAATGTATTTAGATTGGAAGAATTTGACGACACAGCACCGGCATCCGTGATGCTTTTCTAAGCAACGGTAACACGGTAAACGGTAACATAATGATAATGTTATTCTTTTCGATCAAAATATTAATTACGAAGAACCCGTTTTAAACGATAAATTATCTTAGTTGTTTATGTGTAGTAATAAAAAGTAACCTAAATATATATTTTTATAGAAATAGAAATCGTATAAAACTCGTAAAAAAACTTACGAATTGGGTTTTTTCACTTGACGATGTTCATATGGGTTATATTCCTTATCCTGTATAGCTTCCTCGATCTTCTGTTTAGTATCCATGACATATACACTTTAAACAAACCTGAATAACAGCAGTTGACAAAAAATGATACTTACACGATCTCAGAAAATTACTTTTAACGAATTGTAAGTGCTAAATTGCTGTGAATTAAATCCTATACAAGGCTGTAAATGAATGACAAGCTATGTTTAAACATAAGTGTTTTATAGCTATAATCTCAGTATTTAAAACGTTGATAACAATAAGATAAAAGCAGAAACCTTCTCGATGTACATGTCTGTGCAGTAAGTAATAAAAATTTATAAAATGAAGAGTTTACATAGATGATCGTTAAACGACTGATACTTTCCTTGCGGTAAATTTAATACACACAATCTCAATGTCGCCACAATGAAACATAAGGATAACATGAAAGTTTTATTATAATTACAATAAATTAAATTGATTTGAAATTAGTATTAAAAATGATTTACTGTGTTGGGCCATTCAGTATGGCAATAATGTCCATAATAGTCACTGTACATCCAGAAATCAAGCTTGTAAGGCCGAAGACTACGATGAAAGTGTTTTTCAGCAGCACCCATTTAAATATCCCCAGATCATTCCATCGAAATACTGTCTCCACTATTCCAGGGATTATCAATCCTAATATAGAATAGAAGCAGGCTCCAACAAGATTTATTATATGCTCCAATAATGGTAATGCTACGCCGATTCCGACTAAAACAACATGAGATTTAAAAATCGATTTTAGATTGAAAAAAAAAATACGACACGAGCAGTACTTGAACTGACATCTGCGGCGATCCGTACTGTTGCTCTAACGAATTGATATTTTACATTTATGCCATCATGTGGAAAATATTATAGTTTTCAAACAACACATTTATGGTAGATTTTTTAATTATGCAGATAAATTTTACTTGCAAGAATTGGCATAGGTATGTAGATCATTTTTGAATTTGACTTGATGACGTTTTGGGTGCTCCTTAGCACCTGACGTGTCAGATTTTATTAATATTTACTTATACACAATTATACTTTACAAGAAATCTTGTTTTGAACTTATATAACTAGACCGTCACCTGTATATTTGTTCAAGCCTCGTATCGTGTAAATTTTATTTGTAAGATTATAATATTATTACTTACCACAAAAACATACGGCGATAATCCTGCCACCAATATCAAGTAATGTTTTCCAGTTATCTTTAACATGTGGATCACTGTATCTCTTGAATATGTCGAAGACAACGTAAAATTGCAGAGGGTAGGTGAAGAAAATTGATAAGGCGATAAAGACTTTAGCGATGATAGCGGGCCTAGAAAAATAGAGACGATTTTTTTAGTTTATATAGTACTAGCTGTGCCCGCGACTTCGTCCGCGTGTAATAGTGACTTGTGGTAGAATTTTTAATTATTTAGGTTGTTTGTTAATTTATGTAAGGGCGCATTTAGGGCAGCCAATCTATGTTGTATGTGCTACTTTGCCGCAACACTCTCACCTCACATCACCCCTACTCTAACTCCCACTCTCATTCCCACTCTCACTCCTACCCCCACCCCCACTCCCACTCCTATTCCCAAAAAGCCAAAGAAGAAAGTTTCATTGTTCTAGCTTCAAAAACCACGAATTTCCATACAAACTTTCACCCCCCCTTTTAACCACTTACAACCAACTTTTCGCAATAAAAAGTTAAGCCTATGTTCTTTCTCAGGGTCTAGACCATCTGTATACCAAATTTCGTTCAAATCCGTTCAGTAGTTTTGGCGTGAAAGAGAGACAGACAGACAGACCGAGTTATTTTCGTATTTATAATTTTTGTATTGATTTAGATTGTAGCAACAATATTTACTTATATTGACCGACAATAGTCAATAAAGGGAATGCTGTCTCGCTAAGTATCTGAACAATTTGTGTTAACGATATTAATAATTAAGATCGTGTATTAAATAGGTGTAAAATTATTCCAGTTAGTATTATAATAGCCACTTGAAAAACTCTAAAAGCCTAAAGATATTATTAGTACACTCTAATACCCATTTGATTCGTTGGTAAATCAATAGCTAATAACGGAAGAATCATCATGATAAAAGCGGATACTTCACAGAAACACTAAAGTATCAGGCTTAGTAATAATAGCTTAGGTATGGAATATCATTCTGTCTAGATAACTCGATTATATTGTTATACGCGTCAACTCAATTTACCTCAATTTTATAGTAATAATCTTAGATTATCAGCGGAAATCTTTAAAGCATCAAATAACAGAAAATTCGCAGTTAAGTATAATCGGCTAAGTTTGAAATGGGCTCGCGCTCCTTTTAAATTTCTGACAAATAAGCCATACGGTTATCACTTACCAGTCATCTATCGGGAGATTAAGCGTTATAGATCCTCGAGCTAGATCACCATATCTAAAGTATCCGAAGAGGCCAAGTGTGCTGTAGAAAAAGACAATAGCTGTCATTGCGACGACCAACACACTGGGACAACCAAGGAAGTGCTGTGGCTTCTTCATTGCATTTTCTACGGGCATCACTAGTCCGATCCCTTCCATAGCAAAAATAACAGTTCTGGAAATAGAAATTAAGTACATTTAATCTGCATCATGATCAATAAATAAAATGGTAATGATGGATGTTGTCCAGAGCCAAGATAGGTCGACATGTGCATCATGTGTAGATGTTATATGGCTGGGGTATTGCACACCCAGCGAACTCCATGATTCTCTTTCCTACTCTATTATTAAAAAAAAACAAGATAAAAGTATTGCTAAAGGTGTAAATTAAAATATATTGTAATATACCATGAATTATCTTTAACTTAATGTTACTTAATTCTGGTACTGATAGTATTATGTTAATCTTGTTCAAGGATTGCAAAGGAACAGTATTTTATTAAAGTATGTATAATTAAGAATAACTAAACCAGGTCCCTTCTGACCGAGGAAGGGGAGACCCCGTCGTCCTTAGCTGGTTAATACATACTATAGACAAAATTAAAAAAATATATACGTATTATAGTAATTGTAAGGTATTATACTAATGTAGCGATATCAAGGAGGCTAATCTGTAAGGATTGAAGGATTACATTCAAATGTATTAACACTTACGATATAAACGCTGGAAATCTAGCTGGGTCTCCGACAACTTTTTTGTCAGAGAAATTTATCTCATCTCCGAAAATATAATATAAGCATATTAGATACGTCGCAACTAAAAAGAAATTGGCAAGCAGCGAGAAAATAGCAAGCCATTTTAAATATTTAACTTGACATAGAAGACATAGAGGCACTAGAATTATAAGACAGTAATATTCCACGGGCAAAATGGCGCCTGGCACGTATCTATCAACTAACTGAAAAAAAAGGCAATCAATTATTAAAAAAATGCAAAGAATTTTCAATAGATAAGAGAAATGCAAGGTTAGTGACATTAATGTTTACACGAAATGAAAATTATTGTGTCAAAGAAATTGGACCGGAAAACATAAAAATATCGTTAAATAAAACGATCGGGGTGGTATTTTTCGTGAAATTTAACTTTCAATGTGAACAAACCTGTTTAATGGAATCAGATATAAGAACGGTGTAAATACAGCACACGCCGACGTAAGTAGATAATAAGGACAGTTCCGCAACGATACTGCAACAATTAAGATGTGATTAACGTAATGAAATTAACATTAACGGATCAAAACGCGAAATAAATGATATTTTTTAACTAGGACGTTGAAAGTGTTAGATAGTTATATGAAACTATATGTTTTGGGGTTTTAGTTTAGTTAACAATCATTACAAAACAGTATATAATATTCACATAAATTAGGGACGATGCATGACAAAAAATGCATTGTGTTTGTCTGTACTACTTCTTAGTTTGATGACTTTGCCATTCTAAATGGATTTTTCCAATATCATGTGTCAAGGCACGACAAGGCGTGAAAATATAAATTATTGTTTTAAAATTTTGTTCACACTCGTATTTGGATATCGTTTTCTCTAATTCATCGTTCTGTAATTGGTAACTTGGCTAAGCCCCTCAATGTTATTTGAAGTTATCACCTTTCATTAAAGCAAGTGGCACAGGTATGCCAAAGGTGCTGACACATGCTTATTATGTTTGCTGTCGAAAGGGAAGGTATAAGATTACGATTACCTCGCAGTTTTTGCATAACGACGTAGACATTTAGGTCCATTAGCGAACGTCGATTCGCATGTTTCTGCGTAGTTTAGCTGGGGTTTCTTTTCTATTTTACAACAGCCTCTTGACGTTTTTACCTATAAATTACAAGAATATTATATATAATTTCGATTATCATTATAGATTAAAAATGAACCATAATTGCTAGTTAATTTAGATGTTACAAGACATAATATATATCGGGACAGTTGACTTAATTTTACGACTAAAATAATACTATAATAAGTAATAATAATAATATAGTAGAGACAGACATGTGACAATCTGTATCTTTTTAGCTGATTGATCTATTTCAAGTTAAGTACTTAATCAGACCACAGGGCTTGAGTTTTTTTTTCAGGATTCGAACCCACGAATTGGACGATCGCAATTAACTCAAAGACGATGCATCACGATAGCGGTAATAATATCATGATGGGAACGAGTAATGAAGTTGGTAGTTTAATGTTTAATTAAAAACAGGATGTCTCTAGATAAGCCAAGTATGTGCTTATGTATTCTTTGTACATCAGCGACATACATTTATAATAATAATTAAAACACGACTTACTAATATATGAATACAATGCCCGCAAATAACGCCCACCAGGATTGTGCCAATAATGCCAATACCCCAACCTGCATTGCTGAACGCAAGAGGACCAGCGAGGAGGCCGGAGCCTAATGACGCTTTAATAATATTTGCAGTGGCTCTCACGTCTCTGAAAACACAAGACAATATATTTTGACGGGTTCGTTGTTGTAATGGTAGCAACGTAAGCAACGGGTCGTGTTTTCGACCCCCACCGGGTCCAAAAGTTTTTGAAAATCTGAATATTAAAGGGGCGGTAGGAATATCGAAATTTCGGCCGGGTCACGTACCAGCATCGAGAGATTAGGCCGTGAAGTCTATTTGCGTTTCGGGATCAGTCTGACGATTTCCGAATATCCAAAGCGAAAACTAGATCGACAGTTGTTTACATTCTTTCCTTTGATGGTATAACTATCATCAAGACACATTATCATAACAAGACAGACAGGCATGCTATGGTCTTGTTATGGTATTACCATTTAATTTAAATATTGCTTATATCGTTTTTCACGGTACTCTAATATTGTTTTGTTTCAGGTCTACTTAGACAGATTCTTCTAACCATAATAAATGCGTTAAATCATAATTTCACGCATGACGCAGTTTTAGACACTAATTAACGGAATGTGTCGAAGAGTGCACATAAAAGAAAATACATTTTATATATACGAATATTTTTTATAACGTAAAATTGTAAGGTCTGTTATGCGTATGTAGGTTAATTATATTTCACAAAAAACAGCGATAAAAACTCTAATAACGATACGTATGATATATGAGAATTTTAATAATTGTTTAATTTCTTAATAATACAATATTATCGAATAAATACAGCAACTGATTTCGTTAATATATAGACCGAAAGAGGAACATCTACTTTATCATATGAGGGTAGGATTTTGGATATTATTAACAATATTTAAAAGATTGTATTTAAGTAAATATAGGAAAAATACTTACGAACTGGGTTTCAGAACTTTTCTGTGTTCATACGGATTGTATTCACTTCCTTTAGATTCACAGGTCTCCATTTTTTCACTCATCTCACACTTCACCAAAAGGACTGTAGACTTAAAATTATTAAAAAAAACGATGATTACGTATTTTGGTTTTTAATCCATTCGTTTTAAACAAGGAGCATTGCAGATGTCCACGCTGATTAGTTAGTTTCAAAATTACACGTTAATTTAATTCATTGTATTGAAAACGACATCGCTTCACGAATACAGCTAATGGTGTGACGACATATTATTTCGTCTAAGGTCTCTGCTAACTTTGATAAAGATAAGCCTCTGCGCGCTTCTTTGAAGAATATAATCATTTTAAGAGAAAGATACCGTAGATTATGCAGTAGTTCAATAACGTTTTGCTAATTTCAAGACGTTCACAAATGGCAGATGTTTGTTTGAACAATAGTCAATATTTCAAAGGCGAACGTGACAACACTTGTTGTAAATTTCCTGATTTATAAACGAGATTATAATAGAAGTAAGGGTAATAAAGTTAATTTTAATTGCTTTATTATATTTTCGTTGAGGACTTTACTCAAGGTTACATTGATTGTAGTATTTACACAAATGTTTACTTATATCTTCTATGTAAGGTTGGTGTGAAGAAAAAATATGTTTGATATTATTCTTACGTTTACAGACAGAGAAATATGAACGTCAAAAGTATTTAAGAAATTTTATTGGTGCTAGACATTAACAAGTTTATATAAAACATCTAAGATAATAGTCATACGCCGGTGCATATTAAATAACAAAGGAATGCTCCGATTTTTTCTTACAGTAATTTAGTGTATGAAATAATTAATTGGCTAATACTTAAATATATTAATTTGGTTTCAATGCATCAATTATAATTATTAATTTATCTGAATTAGTCAAAAACAGAAAACATAGAATTCTTAACAGACAGAGGTATTTAAATAGTAACAGAATTAAAAGAAGAATAAAACAAGGGTCAAGATAAATGGAATCTATTCCTGAATCAAATAAGCTTTTCCCTACATCTGTTAGCTGCATAAAGTGCTATAATTATGTATAGCGTATGCACTATAAGTCGTTCTGTCTACATATATTTACAGTTGATTAGATGAATATTTAATATGTCACCTTGAACTACTCGAATCTGCGACTGTACATCTTAAATCATCTGTAAATCTAAGTCTTTCTATATCAAATATCTGTCATAATCGTTCAGACATTTTCATACTATCAAATGAAGAGTCTGAATTTTCATTGCAACTTATTTGTATTCGTTGAAATTGCCCGGACTAGTCCACCAGGGATTCCTAGTTGTCGTCAAGGGTTTTGTCGACGGGAAGACGTACTGCTGACTTTGCTGTCGGCGATAGTTATAATAGCGCGGGTTAACATCATTATTAAACTTTTGAGGTCCTACGGCTTCTAAAGAAGTTGAAGGAAATCGTTGATAGTTGGGGTTCAAGCTTCTGTACACACCCACGTCATACGTCGGTCTTTCGTATGAGGGTATGAAACGGTTCGGTTCACAAACTGTTCCTCGAATGAGATCTTCAAAGTTAGCTGTGAAAATCCTGAAGTTGATGTCGCTATAATCCAATTCGGACTCTAAGAATATTGACATACGGTCTGATATCACCCATACATTTCTGCCTTCATCTACTTTAACATCGCATGGAAAGATCATGCTAACGTCATCCTTATCTACAATAGCAGTGTTTTGCGGTTTCATTGGTAGTTTAGTGTTCCAGCAACCGATAGCGTTTTGATCAATTAAATTATATAGTTGAACACCTGTGGAATCGACTACTTTAGCTGTCGTGTGAGTATCAGGTCCCCGAGGGCCGACAACTTTGAAGTCTTGGTAGGAACCTTTTACTTTACTCTCATCTCTGAGAATACGGGTGGATACAGCAAATTCAGTGTTACTAGTGATGGGGCTGAAATATAGGGTTCTATAACCATCAGGGCCTTTTGGTGATGCTGAGATTCCGAAGATACCTTCTGAAATCCATTGGAAGTTCATGCCCGCTATATTGAAGTCGCCGACCAAGGGATCGGGAAGGAAGAAACCGTGGCTGAATCGCCATGATTTATTTTGTTGCCATGAGTACGAGATCAGTCCGTAACCCAGTTCATCGGAGAAATATGCGTAATAGTCGTCACAGGTGTCACCTTCGTCTAATGCTATGTTTGCAATAAAAGTAGTTGGCACAATATCTTCGGGTCTGAAGACGTATCTTCTAAGCCTTCGGTTAGTGTTTAAATCATACACGTTTAATGCGTATGGGCAAACGTTTGTAACGTTGGGATCTGTAAGGAAAAATATGTTAGTAACGTCCGTTGCATATGTATTAAAGTATTTTGGGTTTTTGTAAAACTCATGCTTACCATATCCGTACGTGCCGACGTCTAAAACCCACAAACGATCGCATTTATCAGCTTTGATTCTGTATACAGTGGTCAGGCCGTTTTCACAGTTTCCGAGCTCATTTTCCTCAAAGCTTGGATAGGGGGTTAGTTTTGGTGACGGTTCATACGGAGCATCTAGCGGTATGTAATTTAAAGTAGCTGGTACCCCTGAAAATTATAATTCATCATACAATATCATACTAGATATATTCGTCAATATAGATTAAAAGAGAATTTGTGACACGGGCGGGACTTGAACCGGTCCTTACAGCGCTGTTGGTTAGAACGCTGTTGATGCTGGTTCAACTCCCACCCATGTCGTATATTGTTTTACAAACTAAATAGATTTTTAATATATATAATGTCATCAAGTCCATATGTAAAAGATATTAAACTTTTCAAATAATACTATTATCTTCCAAATTCAGATTTATTTTAAAAAGTCGTTATGGCTTAGATAATACAACTGTACGTTTTACTTCAGTGGTTCCCTGAGGTGTGATTTAATAAAGGCCTCGTAACAGCTAGATCTTCGGTACCACGCCCACTATGTAATACTAATAACGAACTGTTTGAAGTGCAAGCAATCATTCTTTGCGTGTAATAGGTATGGTAATTATGGAATGAAGTAATCAAATGATTGCGTTTAGAGATGTCTATCAAAAAATAATATTAGAATTTAAATTATTATCGTTCACGACGAACTATATGTCTGTAATTAATATGTATTTCACTTGATCAACCTTTGTGTGTTTATTGAACAAGCGTCGCGGTAGGCGCGAGAGGTAATCCCAAGACGATTTATAAAAAGATATCAGTAAAACGTCATAATCAAATGTTTGCCTCGGTAATAAACAGTAATAAATAATCATTGTAGGGTAATAGACAGTTTAAACAAAACGACTTTTATTTTATAATCTGTAGCGCCAAAACAAATTCTTACATAACAGAATGCTCTGCATAGACTAAAAATGCTCCAAATTAGTTCCTAACTATATGTTTGTAAGTTCCTATTCGGGTGGGCCGCTTGCTGATTCCGTTTGCATAATTTAATTATTTTAATTACACAATCGTTTTTATCATTTGCAAAATGCAAAAATAACTTAAGCGTCGTATCTTCGAAATATTTTAATTCGCGATTTACATCGCGAATCGTGGTGCGCATTTGAATTTTTGGTAGAGAAAAACAACAATATCCACTTTAATCATGTATTCAAGGTAATATTTTTTAAAGTTCATCCTATTTATGTTTAATTTTAAAGTAAACTCAAAAAAGCACCTTCATTTTTGCAAATTCGGTTCATATTTACGTTGTAGTGGCTTTAATCTCTCGTTGTCCTCAGGTAAATATTTCTGTAGTTATGCACACTTAGCACTAAGTTAATCCGTGAGGTACTATGACGTCATGAGATCTATCTAGAGCATTGGCCATTTTGTTTGATTGCAAAATTTATATTGTGGGTTAGACCAAATAGTAAACCTAATTGTCAATATGCTATGATTATATCTGCAGTTCATTTCAACTATCTAGACCGCGTTCCTCCGAGTTATCTATAATTTAGATTTTTCAGTTTATTCATAAATTATTTTTCACCTTAGTTTATGATTCCAAATTATATATAATATTTTACAAGTTTGATGTCTTGATTTTGTAACTTGTTAATGTTAGTGTTTTTTTTTATTAAGGGGGGGGAAAAAAAAAAAAAAAAAAAAATCATACGGGGCCTATTTTGGCTATGGATATTCGGAAATCGACAGACAGACCCCGAAACCCGATTAAAAGTAGGTGGCTTTTCAACTGTTGACTGTGGCTCGTCACCCGGTAGGAATTTTCATTTTCCTACCAACCAATTCATATCCAGATCTCCAGACAAAGTCCGAACCCACGATCCGTATATTATTAACTATCCCGTTTCTCCTATTTCATAGAGAAATGTATCAGCGATATTTTGTTAATGATAACTTTATAAAAATTAAGTGTAAATAATAAAGAATGAATAAAAAACGAATGAAAGTTTATAGATTGATAAATAAGATGCTACGGGTTTCTGAGTCCAAACAATATTATAAGTTAAAAATCAAATTAAAGATATAAAATGACATCATCTACTGACGGGTATAGGTTTTTTAAAATTGTACGTATTTCCCATACATACGTATCTACAAAACAAAATATTTTTACCGTGCAAACGAAACAACGTTTCCTCCTTAAACATGAATTTAAAACAGTTGAAATGCGAACATAACATATTTTATAATTTAATATGTGAATAAAAATCGTGTTTTAAATAAAAGGTATTATGATAATGTTTCAAGTCGTTTATAGTTTTTCACCACAGTTTTAATTTTAACTAAGTATAAGAAAAACTCAATTTCACATTATATTTAGTTACTAACCTGGAAACCAGCGAGGCACACTGACGAACAATTTATTCCTCCACCTCTCGATTCCCACAGGTAAGGCATTTTTGGGGTTAAAAGCTCCACTTTCGAGGTCTCTTTGCTTGGTATATTGGTCCGGGTAGTTCCAGTCTAGCACGTTCCAGGAATATAGCTCTCGTAGCTTAACTGTAGCCGATACTACAGCTATCAAATAGCCGAATAGGAGTAGACGTTGCAACATATTTTAGCTGTAAAATAGTATACATAAAATACAGAGGTCACTCCCAATTAAAATAATAACGATAAAAAATAATATTTTATAATTCGAAATTTAATATTTTTTGCGCGCGTAATTTAAATTGTTATTTTTAATTCTAGAACTGAAATGTCATTATTTAAAAATTCTTAAATGAATTACGTTCAAGTGTTACTGGGCTATAGGCAACAGGCGTTGAAAATAAACTAAAGTGCTACAAAACACCCTCAGCCTTATAAAAGTTAACATATTCTCCTTCCAGTGCGTAGGCATACCGAGGAAGTGACCACAGAGTTAAGAAGTTACGCAACGTTACGTATGATCACAAGAATATTTATCGTAGTATGTGTTTAAAAAACAAACAATAAACTCATTCACAAAAAGTGTTAAGTTTAAAATTGCAACATTTTTTAAAATAGTAAAGCTTAACTCAGCGGTCACTATGTAACTAGTGTTGTTTTATAAACATATAGTTTAAGAAAAATCATTTTTAGTGTAAAAAATATTTTTTACTTGTTGATGTAGGTTTAATTAAAAAAAATATCCACTACCAAATCATAAGTAGTACGGAAGCCTTAATCACATTATTAAATTGATATCAATCTTATTTATTAGTGATGGGGACTACAGGTGCTGGTCCCTATATTCGAGAAAATAATATATAGCTTCAGCATAAATCTAGTAAAAAGTATAAAGGTGAAGCGTAAAGAAAAACAGTTATTATAATCGAGAGACACAAGACACACAATATCTAACCAATTGTTTTTTCTCCAGTAACATTGCCCGTCACTATTCAAATTAAGATATCTAGTTGATAATGAAATTACTATAATCATCGTCTAATTTATTCATAGGTCTGTAGTCGATTTAACAACCCACGTGGATTAATATTGCACGCTAAATTCATCGCACGAGACGATATGGTCGCGTGCTAACTTAGATGTCATTTTTGTGTATTTGTCGCTTTTTTATTTAAGTTGTATCTGTGGTTAACGAATATAAAATAGAACACATTCAAACCGGTCAAATCGAACTATGTCTGTTTGCGAAATTTTTTTTTTTTGTTGCAGTTTAAAAATTTCATTAATTTGCTCGTAGACCTCGTTGTCCTACAATAGTAATATTTATCTATTATAGTAGTATAATCTTTTTATATTTCTTAATATTCTGAAAAGATTTTCAGAATTGTTTTGTATAATAATTTGTTAACGTTTAAAGTTGTTAATATAAGTATAGTAAATATATCTTAGTTTTTTGAGATTCTGTCACTGAACAATTTCTGCGCCAGAATTCCTTTAGGCTCGGGAGGGAAAACAACCTTCATTCTGATTATGTCAAACTCCCGCGACCTTGGTTAAGCGAGTAAAGTAGAGCGGAAATTGTTAATCGTGCGCAAAACGTGATTTATGATCACTTATTGTTTAAATATATTAAAAAATACCATAATGAGTTGAACACAAAAATGAAAATTTCACTGTACGAATTATTTTGTTTTTAGTAAATGTTTTTACAACGTCTCGAGTAGCAGGGGAGGACAAGAAAGGTTCACAATTTTAATTAATGAAGATGTGTTGTCGGTCTACTTTTGCTTAAGTCATACACGTCTGTTCTTAAATCTATATGAGCTATGTACACATCTATCAATCGATACTGTATAGAAATAAAGTACTTTTATTAATGCCAAAAATGCTTATTTATGCGAGTTTATACAATTTTCTATCGTTAATTTTTTACTTTGTTTTATGTTTTTTAAGTATAAAATCTAAGAAGATGAATAGACTATATATGAATTTAAAAATAAACTTTATAAAAAGAAAATAGTATACTACTATTAGTGTGTAGAAATATTAAATCAATATAATATTATCCTTTAATATTTGCGAAGTTGTGGTTAATGGTACCTTCTAATAACGAGTTTAAGTCGACTGATACCAATTCCTTACATATCATTAACCCATTTATTATAGATACTTGGCTATATGTTTAGGAATTCATTAATATTTATCTCAATATTAAATTATACAAATAAATAATTAATTGAACGGTACGTATTTGCAAAAGATTAATAATGTACATATATTAATCTTTTCGTCGTTTTTGCTTAGTGAAGATTTAAATTGATTTAATGTTTTTATGTGTTTTTAATGAATCTGTTGAAACGAGGGGGGGGGGGGGGGTTGAAGCCCGGTATAAAAAATTATAGGAAGAAATAAAGAATAGAAGTCCGTTAAACTATTTGAAAAAAATTTCCTATCTATAGTAGATTTTGTTTTCTCTTTTTTCGTAGTAAATACTGTATTACTTCTTCTTATAAATGGAATCGGAATTTCACTAACGTGGTGCATAAACTGTATTTACAAACACGCGAAGCTTTTAAGTTTTAACTTTAATCAAGGTAAAAGGGTGCCTTAAAAATGCCATTTAGTAGGTAAGTACCGAATATCTTGTAAAGGATAATAAAATATATTTTTTTTTAATGTTAAGTGCTCAATTATTTAATTCCTTTTAAAGATGCCATGTCAGTGTTATCATATCTTGCAATACGCTGCAATATGTTACTGTCTTATTTTTGTTTTTACTCAACATAATAGGGTAGTATTTATACATAAATATATACTATGCACTTAACTAACAAAACGTTTGTACTGACAATGTTTTTGCAAATAAATCTTCTTTCCAAATGTCTCATCTCATTTTCTCTATTATTTTTTTCAATTTTAGGTCGCCTGGAAGTGACCGCCCATTGCCCTCAATCGTAACATATACATTTTTCTGTATTTCTTTGGTGCAATAAAAAAAATGTGGAGACAGTGTCGTATTGAGCCTGTTTTTGCTGATGGATTTTATTTAGTTAAGTATTTATTTTTATCTTAGGATCCCATTTAGAGCATTGGTCTGTAATTATATTCAATAAAAAACGTATATACGAATCAAATTATGAACTCTTTTTTATTGACAGTTAAATAATAAGTAGATACTAAATTGGCCTTCTCCAATTGTTTTTTTCTTGTTGCCGTTATTAAAGCAAGGACGGAAGATATACCTATAATTTCAAAATAAGTATAGCTCAGGTAATTAAAAAGAAAATAAAAACTTTTATTCATTAGGCGAACGGTAAAAAAACCTAATTCTAAATTTGATTTTTTACTATCTACGATCTAGATACGCAGTTAGTTTTATTACATCCTCCGCAAATAAATAAACTACTTTCAACTTTTGAAAAAGAACTTTGTGTGGAAATAATCCGTTCTTTATTATTATTATTAAAGAGAAAGACAGATTGGGGCTTACTTGATAAAGGTGAAATGATACATCCCTATGTTATCTAATAAGATGTGTTGTTGTTGATACTTCGGACATTCAGAAATCAACTCACCGAAACTAACACGCGACATACATTTTCATCAGTGTATCAAAGGCGTATAAATTTTCGCATTTTTTAAATAAAACATATTGGTAGCCGAATCTTGTACATCACTGGACAAACCCGTCGAAACTTTAAAGCTATTATTTTTTTATATAATAAGGTCATAGAGGACATTTCCGTTAATATGGAGTATTATAAAATAATACGTTTTCGAAGCATGCAGGCCTTACAATACAACAAAAATGATAAACTTGATATTTTCATGATCACAAGGAAATTAAAAGAACGGTAGGTACTAAATACACGTAAATATTTAAGTACACTATAGCTACTAGTATTAGTATGATACCTTTGTACATGTATTATAAAATATCGCTTATACGAAATAACTTCAAGTGCTTTTTAAACTGAAAAAATTGTAATAATGAAAATTACATAATTTCTTGTTACATGTAAGTTTACGCGAACATATGTCGCCAGTTAGGTTTTATTTCTGTGGCAAACTTAATGTCCATTTTATGATATCGCTGTTAGCATTGCTTTATGTGTTTACTAAGAAGTTCGTTTTACCTACTGAACTACCAAAGTACCGTCCCACTATCTAAAGTAATAATAGCGGTACCTAATTTACGAATAGTGTGGCAAAACTCATGTCATTTAGTTAAAGCAATTTGTCATTTTATTACGCCAGTTTTAATGTTAATGTATCATGGCCAGGCAAAGTTTGAACCTGTCAATAGGTAATGATCTACTAAGTGAATATGCAAATATACTTTAAACAGGATATTTTAATAAGTAAGGTAGACTGAAATAATCGAATACTTTCAGCCAATGTGTAAAATATGTATCTTCTCATTATTCATTAAGAATTCAAGAAAATTGACACATATATAAAGCCCTAAGGGCTTACCCAAAATGCATCAACTCGCCTATCTTTGATAATAAATCGTGAAAACATCTAAAAGCGAAAACTTAACTCTCTGATATTTAATTTGTCAAACATTCAGTTGTATTATCTGTAGATTTTTCATATGTAAATAAATTAAAAATGATAAAAAGGCTGTATCAGAGAAGACTTGTATTGTATGTTTCAATGATCGATTTTATTTATAGGCAAAGATAATGATCTTTGCCATAACTAAACTATTATAAATGCCCCAGGATTCAATTATCAATATTTGGCGCGTAACACAACACTAAGCTACGCGTTTAACCACTGAGCCATATCACATGATCAAAGGCAGGGATTATAAAATTTTTTGACAATTAAAATAATCAAAGTTTACTTTAACTTTAATTTTACTTTACCGTTAATAATTTTCAATGATGTAAGCGTACCGCTTAAAGCATTGATTTTTATAAAAAGTTGTTTTTTCCTGTGTGGGAAATATTTTTCAGTATTATATTATGTTGAAACCCGAGCAGAGCTAAGGTCGGTACACCTACGCAATCTAAAGTAAAAACCACCAAGCCTTCCTTCAAGATTTAAAATTCATTAAAAATTTTAATTATGTAACATTCTTATCTTATCAGCCTAAATCCGCGCATATAATTTACGAAATATTTATTATTTTATCTATGAAATTGTATAATGAAGCCTCATTATTATGCAAGCGAA